TGTCACTGGTGAAGCAATGAGATTTCTTGTGCGTGAAATCGCACCACATTCTGAAACAATCACATGGGCGGAAGTCAAAGAAAAAATGTTGGGCCGCTTTGCCCGAGTCACCCGCCAACCAATCACTGAGGCCATTGAAAGAGAATTGAGAGCAAACGAATCCATAGAGTCGTATTACGACGACAAGCGCCGACTCTTGGATTTAGCCGAACTATCAGACATAAATCAAGTGGCAATTCTGAACAGTGGAATCACGACAACGCTGACCCGAACTCAGATCGCGTCACATCAACCGAAGACTCCAGAAGAATGGTTCAGAATCGCCACATCAATTGAATCAAGCCTGAAAACAGGAAAGGATCGACCGCAAAAACCCAAGCCAACGATCACACCGATCAACCATCTGGACGCTGACACAGACAATGACAGCAAAAAGCTACCTCCAAAGGATCCGAAAGATCCAAAGAAGTTTGACAACAAGCCACCGCCTGGCCCATGCCCTGTCTGCAAATTGTTTGGCAAGAAAGAGATGCATTGGAAATCAGTGTGTCCAAAGTGGGCTGAAATCTCAGGCACCGGTGGTGCGCCGAAACCTTCAACAACTGATGCTCCACCAATGGCTGGCATCAATTACCTTCAACCTATTGAAATGGTTGTTGCGCCGAAACCCTCAACAAAAGTCGCCGCTTCTTCCGCGAGCGTCAATTGCCTTCAACCAATCGAAAAGGTTGTTGCGCCGATTCATTCACCAATGAATTCAATCATCCAATCAACAGATGCACCAAAAACAGTTGGCCTTCATCACATCAAGCATGAAGAGGATCCGCTGGATCTCATTTGGTTCACCACATATGTCAATGGCAAACAAACGAAGGCATTCCTCGACTCTGGCTCCACAATCAGCGCCATTTCCAAATCGGCCGCTGATAGGATGGGCTTGCAGTGGGACACCCAGCGTTCAATTGCCATCAGACATGTGGACGGCACCGGCCGAACCCTCGGACTCGTTGAAGCAATCATTGAATTGCAAAACAAGTCATTTCATTTCGCCATTCAAGTGTTGGAAAAACTGGAGCACGACATGCTTATTGGCCTCGACTTGGCCAAAGCCGCTGCTCTTGTAGTCAACTTCGGCACAATGGTTCAACACAAGACATTTTCTCTTCACAAACTCAAGGCACCAACACCAGCACCGAGAATTTCCAGACAATCAATCAAAAACATTGTCGACACAACGGAAGTCGTCTCTCAATCAAATGTTGGATCTGTCAAAGAGATTGAACAAGAGATTCAAATCAACAAAAGTTTCACTCAGCCGACTCACCAACAGATATCACAAATCATTGACAACTCATCCAAAACATCCATCAGCGACAGCACTGGCTTCACATCGAAATTTTTGCACTTCGAGTTTTCAACAGCCCTTCCAACTGATGACACACTCGAAGAGGCCGTAAATCAGCCGACATTGAAGTCCAGAGCTTTGCAAATCAAAAGACATGAGAAAAATGAACACAAAGTCAACAAACAAACCTTTGAAATTTCAGATCAACAAAGAGTTGGCACAGAACTTTCACCACATTTTTGTGCACCTTGTGTTGTCCTGGAAAAGCTCGGAGATGAAAGTCTGCGATTGAATCACATTTACATCAACACTGGTGTTGTGCGTTCATTCACAACACATTCATCAAGAGTGCATCCATTCATCCCCCGCAATGACAACATGATGGTCAACAATCATCCGACCCATTCATCTGACACCATCGCTGCCAACACATCTGCAACATCATTGAAATCACTTGCAATCTCATCAAAAAACAAAGCAAAACAAAAACAAGGAAAATGTGATTCATTTTCAAAAAGGAGGATCACATGTCAAACAAGCGCTCCATTTGAAAAAGTTTTGGATCAATCAAGGAAACCGAAAATACGCCAAAAGCTAGCGGTCGGCGGATGTGACCCTAGATGGCCCACAGATCACACACACACACTCACAACAGACTTCAACCAACCCTTCACTCTCATTGGACGACCCTTCAGGCCGTCCACTACTTAAGTGGACGACAATTCACTTTTTCTCTCTCTCTCACAACAGCTCTCTGATCAATCACTCTTCAATCACCACTTCTCTCCTCTCTTGTCTCTATCACTCACTGTTTTCTTGACATTCAAGCCTTCACTTGAATTGAATCAATCACTCGACAAAACCTGAAACAAATCAATCAATAATTTTTTAATCAATTTTATATTTTTTTTTATTTTTAAACAATAAATTGTTTTATCCGATCATTGGTTGTGTCCACTCATTCATTCATTATCTCATCCACGGTCACAATATAATTAATGCATATTATTTTGTATATACAGTTTTAACAATTTTATAACGATATATACTGCTTAATTGATATTAGAAATTAAAATAATTTTTGAGTATTTTTTTTATAAAAAATAATAATAATAAAATGTATTTTAAATTGAATAATAATAAATTTATATCTTTTATGTACGCTATGTTGAATAAGTAGTCCCTAATTTTTTTAGAGATGAAATTTTTAGATTATATGTCATATTATATATATATATAATACTTGTATAATACAGTATATTGAATACAATGGGGTCTATAATAATAATAATAATAATAATGCAAAATATGATATCATGTATGCAATGGTATTATACAGTATATTCAATATATATAAAACAATGTCAAAAGTGTGAGAGCTATTGTGTTAAGAGAGTTGAGATTTTTAATTTATAATTAACATTATTATAATTAATAATTATTTATAGATTTTCTATGTTTACACTTTTGTAAATGTATTATATAATAAATTTCATTATATATATACAGTATATTACACATTATTAATAGCTAAAACATTTGATATCATCATATTTTGAACGCATGAGAGTATATCAAAACTGTATTACACACACACACACACACACACACACACACACACACACAGTATTAACATTTAAATCATTGAATTAAAATGACACACAAAAGTTGTTATCTTCTCAATAAAAATTGCTCTCTATTTTCAAATACTAAACACAACACTATAAAGTCTACTAATAAATATAATAAAATATTTCAATTTTTATTTCTATTGTCATCGTTTGAGAGATACAAATGACAAACATTGAAGAGAGAGAGAGAGAGAAAGAGAGAGAGAGAGAGAGAGAGAGAGAGATTGTATTAAATAATAATTTTTACAAAATTTTCTGATGAATAATAATAGAAAGGTTGCAATCATTTAGAAAGAAAGAAAGAAAGAGAGAGAGAGAGAGAGAGAATGACAGTTAATAGTGATGTTATCTTAATAATTAATAACTAAATGCTTTAAGTGTAATTAAAAATCATAGACAATGATTAATATAAATAATGAAAATCTAAAAATGATAAATATACGATAAATGAAATGCAAATATTTTTGTGTACTAAAAGTTGTATATTATTAAGTTTGTTTTTTATAGAGTTATAGACATACACTAATGTAATGATAGCTGCCTTACATAAAAATTACAGAAAATATAATTTATATATATATATATATATATATATATATATATATATATATAAATAGCAAACATTTTCACACAATAACTTGTTTGGTGAGATATATATATGTATACAACAAATAAAAACATTTTGCAAACTGCAATACAATTAATGTTTAGATTAAGTAACAGTTAAGTTATATTTGTTTTTTAAATAAAGTTATTATAACTAAATGAGATTTCTCTCTCTCTCTCTCTCTCTCTCTCTCTCTCTCTCTCTCTTAATAAAAATATCAATACTTAATGCTTCAATTGTCGGAAAAATTATGTCTCATTAAACTTAATAATAATTATTATTATACTGTACAGTAATAAGTCATTAAAAATATATGATAAGTTAATTATATAGCAAAACAAATAAACACGTAATAATCGCCTGTATAATAGTAATAATAATAATAATGTACAGTATAATTGAGCTTTATCATTTACTTTATACATGTAATAATAATAATAATAATAATAATATAAATAATAATACTTGAGTATATCAATTTTATAATTACATATATTATATTTAAGTAGCAAATAATAATTGAGCAGTGAAATATATTAATAATAAATATAAATAGGATAAATGGGTACACAAAAAAAATGTTTATATACAAAATATTTATATGTGTTATAAATTAATTGCTTGATATAATATTATTAATAAATTAAGTATTTTTACCAAAAAATTAAAATAAATAATAATAAAATAAATAAAATACAGTAAAAATTTTAGAAAATTTTGTTAAATCCATAGTACAGTAATTGTAATATTAGACAGTAATGTAAAATATGATACAACAACGTATAGTAATATATTTGAAATAAGGACTGGTATTATATACCAGAGCACTGGTATGTTATATGATATACTGTATACCATAGACTCTCTCATAGGTTTATTATTAATCGGTCCCTGAACGTTAATTATACAAAAAATATTAAAACTAAATTAATAAAACAAATATAACATAACATAATTTATTAGGGAATAAAAAATTTTATAAAAACAAATATATTAAACATGTTATATATCAATATATATCAATGAAAAATAATAGTTAAACATACAATGCATAATATTAACTATATTGACAAAAACAATTAATTAATATAATAGGGTAAAAAATAATTTTGATAGTAATAGTTTATTTATAAATGAGTAAGGTATATAATTTACATTATCATAAAATACGTAATCAAGTTGAATTCAAAAATCTATCATGATAGCTTTTAAGAGAGTTACAGTATACAGTGTATACTATACATAATACAGGCCCTGTATTACAGGGGTATGGATATAGAGTCAGTGGAGCCTTCTTTTGCTTGATTTTACAGATCAATCAAATTTACTGATTGTCACCCGATATACCCCTCTCAAAGTGTGTGGTCATCCACTATGATATAGAGAGAGGTGTCACCATCACTATCATTATCAACCATCAGTGCAAAAGCTGCTCCGGTAGTACTACTCTATGTGTGCTATCGTTGTCATCGTCGTCGTCATCCCCGTCCTCATCGACGTTGTCGTCTGAATCCAAATAATGGCCATTAATGTCGTGCAATGATTCGTGATTTGATCTTTTCGGTGACTCTTCAAGTAATCGTTTTTCTCTCTTATCTCTTGCCCGACGATTTTGAAACCAAATACGTATCTATTATTTTGTTGTGAAAATAATATATATATATATATTATAAATAATAAATATAAAGTTTTTCTCTTTCTGTTAACTGATTTTATTGATTGATAGCACACCACATAGTTTAAGCTGTAATTCAATATACCTGTATATATATATAATTTATATATTGTATATAAAATTATATAATTTTTTCACTTTTCTAAATATCATTAACTTTGATCTTGAATTTTAAATTTCAATTTTTGTTGTTGTGTTGTATTTTTGTTAACTACAGGTATTATTATTATTATTATTATAGTATTAGTTGTTGAAAGTTATTTCATATTAGAAAACTGTTTAAACTTATGATTTTATCGGTGAAAATGAAATGAAATTAAAATTAGATTAGTCTTTAGTTGAGATATGATATAATGAATTGCTTATAAAATTAGTTTTTCAAAGAAAAATATAAAACTTTTATTTTTTGTGTACTGTATATATATATATATTCATATTATATATTCATATATAATATTAAAACGTTAACTACTTTGACTATATTAAGATCAATTAAAAAATTTGATTTTTGATTATATTATTAATTAGTCGCTTAAAGCTTTTTTATATTTATTTAATTTAAAAACTATTTAATACTTGAATTTCATTAATTATTTAAACAATTTATCATTTAAATTAATGTGTTATTAAATAAATTAAGATACCTGTATACTTTTTATAAGTTTAAATAAAACAATTTTTATTAATGAATGAATGAAATGCTAGATATTTTTAGTAGTTTTATTCAACACATAAAAAATCATTTACTAAATATATTTTTAATAAGTTTATAATTTTAAAAAAAATAAAACATTATATAAATAAATTAGATTAGTTTTAAAAATGTAATATTAAATTAATAAATTCATATGTAAATTGTATTGATTAAAAAAATAGTGTATCAAATGTAGTTAAATAATAATAATAATAATAATAAATGATTGACATGTCTAGCATATTCATATAATTTATATTGAATATAATACCGGTATATATATATAATATGAGTACAATATATTTAATTATATTGATAGCAGTCTTTAAATAATTTTTTTTGTTATCAATCTATTCATAACTGTATTATCTATTTTATATCAATACAAAACATACACACATAGACACATATACAAAGTTTTGTCAATTATATTTTATATTAATATAAATCATAATAATAGTATATATCATATATAAAAAAAATTATATATATATACATGTATTGAAATATTGGTGTGTAAGCATACAATATCAATAGCTAGTATACAGTATATGTATATTCATGTCAATAGATATATTGCAGTGTATTATATAAAATAAATTGTTTAACAATAGATTTTTTGAAATTTTTCTTTTTATTATTATTTTTATTATTATTATTATTCATCTCTTTATAGATATATACTGTATATATAAAAAAAAATCATAGGAGACGACTGTATGTATTGAAATAATTGAGGACTTGTGGCACACATTATAATAAACAAACCGCAGACTAAACTATATATATATTTCGGTCAACTCTATTGATAGTCAAACAGATGCTATCAAAAACAGTATATAATGTTATATATATATATTGAATGATATACTCTGTTATATTGAATACAAAATCATTCAATTTTTATCTTTTGATATATACCTGTATATATTGTATGGGAAAAAAATGTTTTACTAATTTTTGTTTTCAATATTCAAACAAGGTAAATATTAAATAGATATATACAGTATATATATATATGTGAACAATAATTGTTTGATTATTATATATGTAATATTTAATCCGACAATTTTTTTATATATAGGGAGTTAAATTAATAAGCTTTAAGTTTATATATAAACACTACAAAATATATGATAAGTAGTATTAATATGTTTTATTTTTAATCCATACAATTGATAGATAATAATAATAATAATAATAATATGATATAATCCGGTAATAGTAGTATACAAAACGATTAGTGGATACTAAATATACATAAACTTATTATTATTGTTGTAAATGTAATGTTATGTTTGATAATCGGCAAAATCTTTTATTGAAATAAATAGCAATTCAATAACACTTTAAAACTTTTTTTGTCGGTATTATATACGTTATAGTCTCTACAATAATATTTATTTTGTAGACATATCGTTACACTGTTTTAAACATACACATAGTATTGAAAACCATTTGTTGATGGGTTAAGGAAACAATACTACAAGTTTTGTTTGGGTATAAATGTTTAACTGTTCATAAAATTAGGTGAAATACTCTTAACTATTATACAGTATATATATATATATATATATAAACATTTAGTGGTAAAACTAAATGGACAATTTGTAATATAAGCTTCATATATATACACTATTAGCACCTGGATTACCGGTAAAGTATGAATAGTAGGCCACTCCTGTTCCGTAGTGTTTTAACCACACTATTAGTATAATATTAGTCATAATACTGTGTAATCATAATACTAATAACAATATTGTGTTCAATAGATTATGTGGTGTATTGCTTATCAATTGTATCATTGAATAGTTTAAATCTACTTATTAACCGCTTAACCCTTTTTTTTGTTAAGTTTATGACCAAGGTCATGATATAGTATGATATAGTATCACAAACAGCTGCTGCTGCTGTTTGGCTACTTAACCATGATACGGTGCTAAATATACATGCTAATTTTTGTTAAATGTTTATAATAATAAAAAATTTATATTAAATTTATTAATACCCACTAATTTATCTTATAAATAAAAATTTATTTATAATGTAAATGATTATCTATTATATAATATATAAATTTATAGCTACCCTTGAATCGGTTAGATTAAGCTTATGGGCCAATTGGTTGACTTCCATACCACTCAAGTAATGTGTTTCACGAAATTTATTTTCCAATTCCTTGATTTGATTGCCGCTAAATGGTATTCTCGGTCCTCTATTAATTGATTTTCGTTTATTTGATCCATGAATACTGGTGTCTATTAAAGTTTCTACAAAAAAAAGTTTATCATTATATATAAATTATATAATAAGTTACTATATTTTATTAAAAAATTTATATTCAAAAAAATAAAATAAATTAATCTTACTTTTGTTGATTTTTGGTGGCTTATATCGGCTACAGTTTAGCCAATTATAGATAGCCTTGTTGTGATGGTTGGCGGTAACGGGCGATACGTCCGGATCAACAATCAAATTAGTATCAAAATTATTACTACTATTATTACTATTATTAGTTGCAAAATTACAACTTGAAACTACATGTGCTGCTGATAAGGCTAGTTCACTATCGCTTCCTAAATCACTGATGCGTCGATTATTATTAAAAAATTTATTATCATATCTATTGTTGCTTTTATCCAAAAGTGCTTCAATACTGAATGATGAAGATATTGTTGGTTTTGTTGGTGTTTGTGGTGATGTCGATGTTGTTGTTGTCTTGGATGATAAGCAGTTCCTCCTCATTGTCATCATCATCGGTGGTTCAATTGGTGGTCCACACATATCTCTAGGGCTCAGTTTGATATTGTTTGGCTGCGACAATGATGGCGAGTGATGATGATAAGAGTCTATGATATTTGATGACACATTTGCAAGACATTGATTCATCATAGCTGCTGCTGCTGTTGGTGTTGTTGTTGGTGTCATTGCTGAAGATGCTGTCATCGACTGGTGTGCAGCAAAACAATTGGTCAGATAATAGGAGGGAAATGTCGGTAGATTAACAAAATTAGGATTATTTGGATTAATATTTGGATTAGTATTATATTTAAAGCCAAACGATAATCGATTATTATCATCCATTTAACTTAAAATTATCTTCAAAAAAATTTTTTTTTTCAAGTAGTTTTGTAATGATTAGCAATAAATCAAATAATGCATAAAAGTTTTATTTAATAATAATATTAAACAGTAAACATCAAACAAAATCTTAAACTTTCATTTGAATTATACAATAATAAAAAAAAAGTTTTTATTTTTCTGGTTAAGCAATGACTTGCTTTTCAAGTTCACTATAATAACGAATTGGGACCCAATTTTTATAATAGCCTGTCATCCCATTCAACTAAACCATCCAATGCCTCATTGGTTGTCTCTCTCTTGCTCTCTTACATTGCTCTCTCTCTCTCTCTCTCTCTCTCTCTCTCTCTCTCTCTCTCTCTCTTTCATAGACACACTCATTGAAATCTACAAACATTGTCCAGTATATATATATATATAATAAACTGTTTGTTTCACATCATTTATCTATTAGTTTAAATGCTAGTTTAAATGAAATATATCTAATATGAAATATAATTATTATAACATATGATAAAATAATTTATTTTATTTTAGTTTTAAATGCTAGCCATAGTGTGTTATTTGATATCCAATTTTATTAAACTGTATATAAATCATTTTTTTTCTCTCTCTCTCTCTCTATGCCCTGTATTTGATATTTTTCACATTTTTTAAATAGTTAATTAATTTTATGATTTCTTATTTTTGTTTAAATAAATAAATAAATAAAAGATAATTTGAGAATATCATATTTAAGTAAATAATTTATATATAATATTAATATACCTATTAGTATTTTGTATAATTTTTTTGTGAAATATTTTATTTATGATAGCAATTTAGTAATTTGTAGATAACAATTGTATACCTATATAATATATAATATTACATCTATATTAATATAATTTTATTTATATAAATATGTGAATCTATCTGTTATTGTAGTTGACATTTAAAACAAATATTTTTTTCCCACTTAATAATTGCTTTACCTTTTAGCTATAATTACCAATTATGTCTCTAATTATTTAATATTAATTACTCTATTTATTAGCTTTAAATAACTTTTTATTGTAATTATTATTTTTTTAAATGGTTTAATTTATATTGTGTCTAATTTTTGTTTTTGATTATAAGTTGACAAATAATGTTTTTATTAATTATTATTTTTGTTGTAATATTTTATCTATGTTAAAAATAAAAATTTGTACTATTGTTGATATAAACAAATTAACTTTATAACAGGCAATTTACTAATTGTAAAGCCATTTATTTGGCCAACAAATTTTCAATTATTTTAATATGAGATTTTTTATGACAACAAGCATTTAGATAAAATTTTTTATATATTAATATATTATTTATTATATATTGTACTAAACATAATAATAATGTTAATTTTTGTTTGTTTTTTTATCTAATTGTAATTTTTTAAATATATTTATTTATACAATTTATATTGTATTTTTAAAATTAATACTAAATGTTTATATTAGTTATGTTAACTATGTTGACTTATGTTACATCTAAACTAAATTTATTATATAATATATTAATAAATATTTTTTTGGATGTATAAATACAAATGTATTAACCCAACAATAATATATAAATAAAAAATTTTAGGGAAATTTTTGTTTAACAAATTTGTCAACTGTGCAATTAACAATAATGTTTTTTAATTTTATTTTTTTATATTTAGAAAGCTATTGTATTAATTATACAAAATTTATATAAATTTATATATTATTATTATTTTTTATGTCGATTTATGAAAAATGTTTTTTAATTTATAAGCTATTGATAAAACCTAATATATTTTTTAAAAAATAAAATAAAAATATTAAACATACTGTTTTAGCATCCTGTGCTCGTAAATAATAATAATAATACTGTAAATATATCAATAGTATATTGTAGTATAACCGGGACATTACCTGTATATTGAATATTGTAGACATAAACTAAAAAAGTGGCGTATCCTCCACTGTATAAATAAAATTTGTATCCAATATTGTATTACAAATTATATAATATATAGATATACTGTATATACTGTATATATTTATGTAAATACATTTAGCTACAGTATAATAATAATAATTGCATATCAATTGTAATTATTTTCTTGTATTGTTTTATTAATAATTAAAGCATCATTGCATTTAAAAAAATAATTTATTAAAAAAAGTTTCTTAATTTAAACAAATTTGAGTCATTTTTGTTAATTTTTTACTAAATAATTAGATATTAAACAAATTAATTTAATATATATATTGTAAACATTGACGCCACTGACCACCGCTTCTCCACTACTAATAAATAAAATAAAAATCTATGACTGACTGTTCATCGACTGTCCTACAAAAGTTCAGTCACCACTACATTATTATTATTATTATTATGAGATACCATAACAATAGTTTTTCTATAATAAAATAATATACAAACAGCACACCAGCCAATGCTTTTTTTCTAGTAAAGGGTCACAATTGAGGGTCAATTCAATCGGAAAGGTATCCAGCAATGTAACTGATCATCCAAACAGTTTGTCAGTATATGAGAGAGACTACACCACTACTACTCTTTCAATTGGTATAGCGATCGTATAGCGATTAGGATCGGCATATACTGTAGGGATAGGAAGTCCAGAATTTTGGCCCTTAATAAAAAAGTGAATGATCCCTTAAATAGCCTATTGTTTTATCAATTACCGATTGATTGAAAGTTAATATATATATAAATCATATATATACAGGTATTTTTGATAACCCATTGATTTTGTCACCAGTATATAAACTGATTGATAAACTATCAATAGTTTTGTTAGCTTTTTTAATCTGAAAACTTTTGTTGTTAACACTTGATGTATATATATAACATCATATTTTTGTTTGTGAAAAAATTAATAATACTTATTATGTTAGATATTTAAGTTATATATATATTGATATATGAATATATATTTTTGAGATATTATTAAGAAATTATTATTTTTATTATTAGTGAGAAAAAAAAACTAAATAAATAATAACACAATGTTGTCGTCAAAAAAGTCAATATCTAGTGTAGTATTTTCTACATTATTAGCATATAATCAGCTAATTGTGTGCACCAGTCGTTCATATATTGAGCGACCAAATGATGGACAGGGATCACCGTTTGTGCCGCCAATCGGTATATAAAAACTTATTATTATTATTCATAACTTTATATGATATCAAATTGATTGAAATTACTTTTTTAAAAAAAACAACAAAGCTGGTATGTTTTCCAATGGTAATCATGGTAAAGCACCGGTAGTAGCGGCTACCTATTATTTTAATCCAAGTTCGGCACAGGTATCGGCAAACAAACCTGACTCCATGTATGTATCTGATCAGAGCCAGTTAATCAATGGTGGCAACAATGGCGATATCATTGGTGGTGGTGCTGGTAATGGCCAACGGTTTGTGGACAACACATGTACGGCACCCGACAGCCGCAAAGGTACCTGTTATGAGGCATCCGAGTGTGTCAAACGCGGCGGTATGCCTATGGGCCGGTGCGGCGCCGACAATGCCGGCAGTCAAGCACCGGGATCTGTGTGCTGTCTGTTTGATGTTAGCTGCGGCGAAAGTGCGACCGAAAATTTTGTCTACTTCCGCAATCCCGGTTATCCCGCACCGTACGACAAGTCACGTATTTGTCGGACCAAAATCGGTAAGATATCGCCTAATGTTTGCCAGTTTAGGCTGGAGTTTCGGGCCTTTGATATCGCAAAACCAGTCGAAGGTAACTGTTCTCAGGATATCTTTACCATTTCGGGCCAAAACGAGAATCATATTGTGCCGAAAATTTGTGGCCTCAATAATGACCAACACTGTATGTATTAAATTAAAAATATTTTTATTAATTTATTATTTATTATTTTTTTGTTAGTTATATTATTATATGATTGTCATGTAAAATGTGATTAAATATAATACCTGTAGATTATGTTGGTGTGGATGAATCGGGTGTCGTTAGCCTACATATAATGATGTTGGGCTCATACAGGCGCCGCTTTGATGTACTGATCACACAAATTGAATGCCAATCAGAGAATATCGGTATACATACTAATATATATTCAATATATATATGCTTATTATGAAAACTATTTTATTTTAAAATATATATATAATTAATACACACAAAAAATACAGCACCGCCTCATTGTCTGCAATACTATGGAGGAACTCATGGTGTGATCAAAAGTTTTAATTATGACTACTCTGAAGATGATTTGGGTGCCGACAGGAATGAGGGCTATCCTAATGATGTCGATTACATGATCTGTATTCGCAAAGAACCCGGTTTTTGTTCAATAACTTATGAACTGTCCAGCGATGCCGACGGTACACTGCCGTTTGCCATCGGGTCGGGTGCACATCAGATGACACCCTACAATAGCCAGTGGCCAGTAGTGGCCGAATGCCGAGACGATTTTATTGTAATTGGCGGTATGCGTCTGTGTTCGGGTGTCGGCAAACTAAATGCCGACGGCAGTGAACTGGCCGACAATGGACTGTTGAAGTTGACTAATAGACAGGACAATGCATTTGGTAATACAAGTGCCGTTCATCGGACAGTTATGACCGATACAACGCCCGGTCCCTTCAATATACGGTTTGTATCGAATAATGCCAACAATGCCCGTGGATTTCATATCGGTTACCGACAAAACCCGTGCAAATAATTAATAATAATTATTTTATTATTATTACTATTATATATGTTTTTCTAATTTTTTTACAATTTGTATCATTAATTAATTAACTAATATTTTGTGTGTGTGTTTGTCTGTGTGTATTCATTACAGATAATGAAATAAATTTACAATTTTTAGCAATTATTTACTTTATTTTTATTTTACTAAACATTTATTAATGATTTATTTTTTAATTATTATATTATTTTGTAAATATTAAAACTTTTTGTGTAAACTTGTATTAATTAAACTTTTTTTTCTTTTGATTTTTTCTATCAATTACTTAAAAGTCAAATTTAAAAACTTAATTGTTTGCAACTTAATAAGTTTAATTTTTTTTTTTGATTTAATTTTTTAACTTTAAAAAAAATAATAAACTATACAAATGTGATATACTAGGGGTGGGGTAAAGTGACAAAAATTTTCAAAAAAATCTTGTGGTGATAAAGCCTATTTATTAACTTAGTTATCGATTAATAAAAAATTTAACATTTTAATATTTATTATTATTTAATCTAGTTTACTATAGTAATTATTTCAAAAATAATAATATACCGGTATATATTATATAAATAGTATAACTATTCAATACTTTATAATAATACAGTAATAATAGTTGAAAATTTTAATATTTTACTAATTATAATATTTTTATAAAATAATATACAGTATATATATTATTATTAATTTTTTATTAGTCAATGTCTTTAAAAAATCAATTATTTTGGGCCTGTATTGGGAATATTATTAAGAATATTAAATATATATATATATATTTAAATACATAGACTGTTATATTTAAATGAAATTTATAAGGAATTGTATTATATATTATAACTTATATTTTCAATTAATAGTGTTAACAATAATACAGTAGTAATAACAACAATACAGACAATAATTAATAATAATACTAATAATTATAATAATAATATCGATAGTATCGATAGTATTAAAACAATAGTAAATTGTTATGAAAAAAAACAACAGTTTGGTCCTCCAAATAATTGGCTACAAAATAAAAATTTATTAATTATTAACTCATTTAATACATTATGAAAACTAGTTGCTGAGTTATTTTTTTAATCAAATTATATTATTATTACATCAATGGACCATGGATAATTATTAAATTAAAATATAAACTTAATATACTTATAATAGTTGTCGACAACACTTATTATATATATATTCACAACAACAACAAAACATTTAAACAACTGATTTATACTGTGTGTAATAAAATTAATATATCATATTATTATTAATTTAATTAAATTAATGATTTAATAAACATATTTTAAAAAATCATTACAATTAATTACTATTTAATACTATTAATTGATAATAATATTTAATAATTATGTCTAAAATGATATAATGTATTATATTATTGTTTTTTTTTGTTAAAATTAATATCTGACGGAAAAGTTTCTGAAGTCGCAGCTGTCGATGACCTTCCAGTTCTTGAACTGACACGACTCGATACGACAACCAGGACTTCCCTGCAATCGTAGCCATAGAGCCCTAAAGTAAAGCCAAAATATAATGATTGGATCAGTTCAAGTGATAATCAGTAAAGGAGTTTTTTTTTTAAAAATCGCAAACTGACATCTCGTCGACATTGTTTTTCTCGCCCTGAATCTGGCCATAGATTGAACCCCTGGGCGACACCCGTATCCAGCCTTTTAGCGTTAACTTTTGCGACATTTCTTTGGCGTACTGTTTGTCGGGGGCGGGGGTGGGGGCGACAAAATCAATTTAAAAAAATTTTGTTTCAAAAATTAAAATACATTATTAATTTCCATTTTTTAAATTAGGGCATAACATTTTTTTTCGGGCCGCCAACAATTTAGCATCATCATCATCAATTTTATTTAGTTATCATTTTATTTTTTTGTTTGAACATACCCGTGTGAAAAATGTACCTGTATAATAAATGAGAAACAAAAATTGCATTTATTTAATTGCACATATATTTTTTTTAATTTATAGATGATATAATGTATATAATGTATATAATTGTATATAATGAAAACTTATTATATAATTTATTAGTAAAAATAATTGTTAAAAAAATAACATACTAGTATAATAAAAAAATTGATATTTAAAATTTTTAATAATATCAATGTAAAGATTTTTTTGTTGGTAATCTATCTGTAAGCAAACATGTTATAACAATATATATTACTGTCTAATATATAAATAATATACAGTAATATATTATAATTTATATGTATTGTAAAATATATAGAGGAACCGTATGGGATGATTATAATCTAACAGTGCATATCATCCTAACTGTGCATTTAACTATTTACTGAATAAAAATAATGATTTTGTTTATCTATCGGATAAATGCATGAAAAATATTTGGCACTTTTTTTGTCTATAGTAATGACTACTCATTTATTTATTTATTTTTTGTTGGATTTAAATTTATTTTAAACAGATTCAAGAATAAGACAACTGTGTTTTCATTAATATTCCTAATTATAAATATAATTACCATTAAACTTGAATTTTAATAAATATATATAAAAATAAACAGTTATAATCTTGATATGTTTTTTTAGTTATTATTATTATTATTATAAAAATAAACATGGGTATAATCTAGTTAAATATATATATATATAAATGTAAAAAAATAAATAAATAAAACACACACATATACAGTAGAGAGAGAGAGAGAGAGAGAGAGAGAGAGAGAGAGAGAGAGAGAGAGAGAGAGAGAGAGAGAGAGAGAGAGAGAGAGAGAGAGAGAGAGAGAGAGAGATTATGGGGTTAATAATGAAATATATTTTTTTGTTGGCATTAAATCAAAGATCTATCTATTATAGTATACAACTCTTTATTTTTTCAATATACTAACTACTAATATATTAACTTATAATTTATATATAATATATACATAATTTAACCCATAAGCTAATACCCCATTATTGATTAACTGCCAAAATCTACACTTATAATAATAATACAAAATAATATATAATACAAAACACTATTCATTAAACAATTTTGTGTTGATTTAAGCGATTATAATCTCTATGTAAAGCACACACAAAAAAAACTCAAATTCAATTGTTTTACAACATCATCAACAAAAAAACACATACATCACCACAAAAAAAAATCTATTAATAACTAATAAAAATATTTTTTCATCATTGACTTTATAAAATAAATTGAGGTCACAATTTGAGAGATGCTTTTATATAAGATATCTCTTTATATAATTTTTTTTATAATTATTTATTAGCTGTTATATACAAATTAAATGTCTGATATAATCAAATAACTTATGTTATACTATATTATTATTATTATTATTATTATTATTGAATAGTTGACTAAATAAATAAATAGATGATTAGATATATATGTATCGGGAGTTCCGATTTGTGCCAACAATATTGAAATTGTTTGATTCAATAGTTTATAAAAATATATATTTATAAAGTTTTAGAAACCCTTTGTTTAATATATAAATATATTTTTTTCTTAAAAAATATAGTGTTTGAATTACAATTAACTTATTGTATGGATATTTGATGTATTTATAAACTATGCATAACTAAGTGATATTACACACAAACAAACACAAAATTGTCTAAAAAAAATCTAATTAAATTATAATTTAAATAAACATAATAAGTGATTGACAAATATATAATTATTTGTTTAAACAAATATTTTTTTAAAAAACTAAAAATAGGTAATTTAAAAATTATTTATTTTATCTGTAATCTAAATCACAAATAAATAATATGTAAAAAAATCAAATTTTTAATATACATTACTTTTTAAATTAAAAAAAAATATATTTAAACATTTATATTACATTAATGACTATAAAAATAAATTTTTAGGAGACATTTCGTCGCATTCATTAAACAAAAATAATATTTAATGAAAATAAAATTAAAAAAAGTATTATAATGTCAAAGACAACAACAACAACAACAACACATACCAGAAATGTCACCAAAAACTTCAAACTCGACTTCACATAAGACAGGCTTCAAGTCCAGGCCTATGTCCAGTGCTGGCAGCGATGATAATGAGTTAGTAATGTTGGAACTCCTGTCCCATACATTATGGACACTCCTAATGGTAGAGTATTGGTGCAATGCTGAAGACATTATCACTGGTGGCGGTGGTGATGGTCGTAGTAGTAGTAGTGGTGGTAGTGTTGATGATGGAAACGACGACAACTGTCTATTGCTGATTATATTGGACTGTCGTCTGATAGCCTCACGTATCGATAGCTTTAACAGTACTGATCGCGTGTAAGCGCTTCTCCAGTTGCTGTTAGGACTTAGTTGTTGGCTATTGTTCAACAATACTGATGTGACTGAATGTGACGACGAATCCTTCTTTTGCATGACTTTCCCCTCTTAATACAACCAAACATAACAAAATCATATTTATAACAAAAATACCATTGAATGTGAAGGATAGGTTAGGAAGGGGGCGGGCGTGCAGTCATGTTATATAGTACTGTAGTTGTAGTAGTAGTGATGCAATTATGGGATGCGAGCGCCGCATCTTATAAATAGACACACAATTTTCATATGACTGTGCACTTCATACTAGAGCTAATACAATGGCATCTCTAATATATGAAATTTGTTTTTTTTTTTATATAAAACCCCAAACCATTCAATTCAAATGGTATGCCAAACACAACACAATTCAACCGATTCTTTAGAAAAATTATATATATAAAAAAAATAATAAAAACTGATTTTCAAATCAATTTTAAACGCAAACTTTGCTTAAATATCATTATTATAATTATTATTAATTGTTCATTAATTATAAATTATATGCTGATTATTGTTTTTACTATAAAAGTAATCATTATATTTACTGTTCAATTATATAATATAAATTATATAAACACACTGTAAATTACTTATTGTATAGTTTATTTATTATTTTTATAAAACACAAAAATTTGTTTGTTTGTTTGCTTGATGTATCATATAAATTATTTTTATGATAATGTAAACAATTATATGATTAATGGATACTATATTTAATTATTATGAAAATAATCAAATTTTTTTTTCATTAACTGTATAATTATTGCTGTTATAAGCAATGATGGGTATAACACCACTAAATAATCTAAACTTTTAGATAATCAAAAAAAATAATTTACTGTAAATATTGCTTATATGAAAAAAAAATATTTTTAAAAATGTGTTTATAATTTAAAGGAACCGTAACGGGTAGTCATAATTTTTATAAAAATTTTAACAAAAACAATAAAGTTTATAATATTAAACTATTTTTCATAAATATACAGAAAATTTTGTTATTACAGTAAACATTTGCAAAAGTTTATAATTATATATTTATTTATACATAAGCAAAATAAAAACATTAAAGTTAACATAAAATATTAATTTTAAACTAGAAATAATTATAACAATAATATAATAAAATGTTTTATATCATATATTTAATAAAAATTATTATTATTGTCTATATATATAAAGCAGTGGATTAAAAATCTGTGCTAATGGGAGGGGTGGGGCACCTCCTAGTCCCGGATCGTCAATTATTTTCCTGTATAAAACAAAATTTGTTAAACATATTTGTCTCGATATATATGATAATAATAATATTATAAATAAATCAATTGCATGTATGTATTGGTCAGAAACAGCCTCTGATAAAATATCGATCATTTTTAATGATAAATCTCATAATCAGATCATCACTCAATACATTACATGTTTATTATCATGTTTTATTTATTGAAAATTATTACCTCAAAAAATTTATCATATCATCCATATAATAGGCCAAAATACGATTGTTTGTTTTGTTAAAACCTAATTAAATAAATTAAAAAACAAATATATATTAAATACTTAATTGAAAATTAGTATATATTAGTAATTGTATTAAAAAAAATTTGATGATATGTAACCAATCCTTAGTATTTGCAATACATTAATAAATGGCATTCAAATGTGGAAAATTGGTACAAAAATTACTATTGCATCGATTATCTAAATGTTAAAAACAATTTAGGAAATGTTTTAAACATTTTAATTATAATCAATGCAACTAAACTTTTTTTTAAACAAAAAATTAGTTGAAAAATATTTAATTACCTAAACAACAAAACATTATCATAGCATCCATATATAATAGGGCACACCTCCTATTCCAGAGGGGGGTCTTGTAGAGTATTATTTACCTATAAAACAAACAATTTTTTATTAAACACATTTGTCTTAACATACAGTATATGAGATAATTAATTAATAAATCAATCAATCAATGCATGTATTGGTCAGAAACAGCCTCTGATAAAAATATCGATCATTTTTTATAAATCTCATAATCAGATCATCATTCAATACATTTGTTAAGATTATAATAATAATTAACTAATTACTGTATTATAACTATTTTAAATACAAACTATTAGTTATAACACATAGTATTACATCAATGCAACTAAACTTTTTGTGTCTTATATTTTATAATAATAATAATTATTATCATAATTACCTCAACAAAAAATTATCCATAGTATCCATTATTAATAGGGCACCTCCTGTTCCTCCTCCGGGTAGTAGTCAAATATTATTTACCTATAAAACAAACAATTTTTTTTGGTGTTAAACACATTTGTCTTAACATAGAGTATATGAGATAATTAATTAATCAATAAATCAATGCATGTATTGGTCAGAAACAGCCTCTGATAAAAATATCGATCATTTTTAATGATAAATCTCATAATCAGATCATCACTCAATACATTACATGTTTATTATCATGTTTTTTATATTGAAAATTATTATTTACCTCAAAAAAAATTATCATAGCTTCAATAGGCCAAAAACGATTGTTAAAATCTAATTAAATTGAATAAAAAATATATATTATATATTAAAATTTTGTTTGAAAATTATTTATATTAGTTGAATATATTAGTTATTTATATAACTAAAAAAAATTTAAAAAGATATGATATGTAACCAATCCTTAGTATTTGCAATACATTAAATAAATGGCATTCAAATGTGGAAAATTGGTACAAAAATTACTATTGCATCGATTATCTAATGTTTAAAAAAACAATTTAGGAAATGTTTTCAACATTTTAATTATAATCAATGCAAATAAACTTTTTTTTTATTAAAAATAAATGGCAATCAAAAGTGGAAAATTGGTTTATAAAAATGATTATTATTATTGCATACAATTAAAACAGATTGTAAAAAGCATTTTATTTTTTTTAAATTGCAATTTACAATTAATAAAAACTTAATTTTAATTATCAGTGTTAACAATATTATACCTATTTGTTTGTTTGTTTGGTTAAGTTGACCCAACACGTGTGTGTGCACTGTCCACGTGTTCACTCACACACACACACGTGTCCATCACACGCGTGTGATATATGGGTTGATCAGAGACATGGCCAACATTGTCCCACCACCACTGCGGGAGAGGGCGGGGGTATGGGAGCACCGGTAGATCATATATTAAGCATAATGGTCATACCATTATAATGGACCTGTATCATATTTTTAATTATCATAACCTGGGTCACACTTATATATGATAAATTATAAGGATATAATAAAATTGTACTTGTTGGTCAATTTGTTTTTATAGTAATGCTGATGATGATGATGACCATGCTGTATTTTAATAATTTATTTTTTTTAATTTGCGCATGTCAAATTTTGAGTATTAATATTAATAAATTTCTATATTAACATGTTGCACTATCTATTGGAAATTTTATTATTATTTTTAGTAAAATAATATAATTAATATTGAGCATGCACATATTTTTTTAGCGCACTATTCAATTAAAAAAAAATTATATGTAATAACTATTTAAAATATTTAATTTATTTTAAAAAAAAAACAATTTTATACATTTATTTTTTTTGACACCTATTAAATATTTAATTATTATTATTATTAACAATTATTATCACATAATGTTTAAATTTTCTATTAATTTATATATTTATTAATTTTTATACTAATTTTTTTTATATAAATTATTTACTGTTTAAGTTGAGATCAAATATAATAATATTTCCACAATCATTACCCAATACCTGCGTTAGAAAAATATATAAAAAATAATAATTAATATTTTAAATTGTTTAATAATTTATAATTTATTTTTTTAAAAAAATAATTAACAAATATACTAGATAATATTACCAAATAAGCTTGGTCATTGTTGCCGCCTATCCATACACACATTGAACGAAAACTAAAATTAATTTTTAATATTTAGTTATAATATTTGCTTATTAAAAATGTAATAATAATTTTATTAATTAAAAATAAAAGTTAAATACCTATTATTTGGATGTTTGTATTGATAAGTTAGCCTTAAATAGTTATCATAATTATTATTATTTGAATTATCATTGATAGTACATATGAATATACGATTGTAATTATTTAATGCAATTAAATAGTTTTCATTACTATTATTATTAGATAGTGTATTGAATTTAATATCAATAATAGGCATATCGTTTGCATTGAAAGCCTGTAACGGATTTTCACGATAAACACTATAATAATTGATAAAACCGTCGGTAAATGCGGCAAAAAAGTGGTCACTTTGCCTATCGTTAAACTGTATGGCCGTAACTTTTGTCCACAAACTGTTTAGTTGACTTTTCTGGTAGACAGTCGGCAATTTGGTGGCAACTTCGTGATGACGGGTAGATCGGACAACAAGTCCCGAATCAGTTCCGCAGTAAAAGTTTGACCACTCGTTACACTGATTGCCCAAACAGGTAATCTTCATCGTTGTCTTCATCAGCGAATTGTTTATATCATCAGTGGTAACAATATTATCCAAACAGTTGACCCGCGATATCAATGTTATCTTATAGTTAGTTGTCTGGGAAACACCTAAATCGTTGGTCTCGTCTAAACAATAAAAATAAAATATTACCGATAATTACGAAAAAATTATCATAAATTGTATGATTTAATTAATTTGCCTTTGATTTCATTGATGGCCCAAATAATTAGGTTTGCATTTTCATCAACAGAAACATAATGTATGGTATGTTCGGTATCGTTGTTTGTATTGTTGTCGGCGGCGGAAAGTTTGCAAATATCAACTATGGGACAGTCGTGTCCATTGGCTATGAGTGCCGTATTAAACGACGGCGTTCTTAGCTGAAAGTGTTGGCCATCGATGTCAACTTCTTTGTAGGAAAACGGCATTTCGTTGAGATCCCAGAGTGCCAGCGAACCGTCGACCATAGCGGCGATTACTAAATTATTTTCGGCAAACCCGCGGGTAATATGCGACCGACAAATCAGTACTTTTACGTAACGTTCCGATAGTACCGACCAGACAGTGATCATTGATTTTTCAACTAAACCCTCGTTTTTGGATACATTTTGTACACTAAATATATACAATGAATTGCCAAACAAATGGTTGATCTGACATTTCTTAGCCAACGGTAAACACTTTATGGTACGCATGTTTGTGGCAAATACTTCGGCGCCTGAAGTTTGGACAAAGACAAAGACAAAGACATCACTTAATTAGTTCTCTCTATTGATATTTAAGTATATTTTTTTAATACCTTTTGGCATATTATTTGCCGCAGAAGTCTTAGGCCGTCGTCGGCTGTGACTGTCGTCGCACTCGATGTCCATAATAGCCGTCAACAGGATCTCAGCTTTGGTCAAGAAGTTGACTAATTGAAAGCAATCGACTTTCGGTAGCAAATAATTGGTCAACGAATCAGTAATACTATTATTGTTGTCCGATAATTGTTGTTCAGTTCCCGACACTAATGGACTGAACAACGATGGATATTGTGTCCACTTTTGGTTGACTTCGGCGATATCCGTCTGAGTTGTACCATCTGAACGATCAATGGTCTGACAGGAAACTTGTCGGCCATCTTTGYGGCCGAAAGTTTTGATAAACAGGTCGTAGTTTATCGGCGGTATATCGACATTTGTGACCATAATTTTGTCCAATTTTATGACTTCAAGAAGTTCTCGGCTGCGAACTGATGCGCTGTTTCTTTTGCGATCCAATTGTGATAATAATCGGGCGTTTTGTAAGTTATTATTTGGTTTTTCATCAATACTTTGTTTTTCATGGACTACTACTACTTCTTCTTCGTGTTGTTGTTGTTGACGATGATGTAAATAACCATTGATGTGATGATTGGTTTGTTTTTTATCATTTATTTCATCGTTTTTTCTATTGTTATCAAACGATTCTTCGTCGTCGTCGTCTTCTTCTTCTTCTTTTTCCTCCTCATCTTCTTTATCACTGTCCTCAGAGTCTTCATTATTGTCTTCATTATTATCATTACTTTTATCATTATCTTCTTCTTCTTCTTCTTCATCGTAGTCATCAAAATCTGATTCATATTCCTCGAAGTCGTCGTCATAATCTTCATTTAGATGGTCGTCATCTTCATAAGTCATATGACTATTATCAGAGTTAACAACTATGTCATCGACATCTGAAACAGACGGCGGTTCCACTAAAATACTCTTAAAATTACAAATAAATAAATTAAAAATAAAATTTAAAAAATTAATTTTTCATTATTATTAATAATAATTACTAGAAATAATTATATTTGTTAACTAATATTATTTTATTACTTTAATTAAATTTTATATTATATTTAATATAATATAATAGTTAGTATTTCTAACAATAACATTATGCTAGTAGTGACTAAATATTTAAATAGACCAAAATAAATTAGCTAGATAAATTATTTATAACTGTAATAATATCATATAATCTACATTAAATTGTTATTACCAATGTTGCAACAAATATTTTATGTAAATTAGTTTTATAATTTAGTTTTAATATAATTAATATAACTATAAGTAAATCTACTTATAGTAATTATTTTTATCCAGCATAATAATTGTAATTAATTAAAAAAAAATAGTTATAATTAGTTGTTAACTTATCAAATAGTTAATTACCTCAGATTTTTTACCAAATTTTTTTGTCTTATTATAAGCTGAGTCTAATTCAGCTAATGATAAGTTAATATCGTTACCATTGGATAATTGTTTAGTTATTATGTTATCCTTAGTTTTGACATTATTTGGTAATTGTTTTTTATTACTTTTATCATTATCATCACTTTTTCTAACACTAGGATTTGCAACAGTTTTATTATTATTATTATTTGATGATTTAATCACTGTTTTACTAATATTATTATAACTGTTTAATTTACTACTAGTTTTTGCCGTACCATTGGGAACAATAGGTTTTCGGGAAGTACTGGTTGTCGACACTTTACCGACACTACTTGTTTTACTGGTTAAGACATTATTTGCTTTTGTATTACTAGCAGTAGTAGTTGTTGTTGTCTTTGGTTTGGCATTTGACTTAACGGTCCGATTAGATAACGATTGTTGTTGTTGTTGTTTGGAAGTACTGCCTGTTAGGGCACTGGTAGTAGTAGTAGTCGATGTCTTAATCGGTGGTTTAGTTTTGCTAACACCACCACCAGTAGTAGTCTTAACAGTTTTTATGGTTGTCTTTTTCAATGGTTGACTTTCCCCTTGATTTCGTTGTGTTTTAATTTTTGTATTATCATTAGTATTGGCAATTGATTTCGGTTTTGTTGTCGAGTTTGGCGTAACTTTTAGTGCCGCTGTTGTAGTCAAACCTGTCTAATATAATATATATATATATATATATTAATAAAAATAAAGTATTTTCTAAATATGTTTTTTTGTGGTCATATATTATATATATAATAATTATTAATATTTTTTAATAATATAATAATTATAATAAATTATATGATAAAAAACTACTACTACTAATAAATCGTGTTTAATTATACCGTTACTTTTGAGCTGACATTTGCTGGTTTATTATTAGCAACAATTTGCTGTGTCTTCTATAATATATATATGATATATAAAAAAAAACATTACATTTATTATACATAATAATAGTTAATAGTCTTATTTATCAATAGTCTAAAATGTGTTACAGTGTCTACAGTGTTAACCACAAAAAAAACTTAATTTTTTATAAATTTATAAATTTACATTTTAATTATAAATAATTATCTAAATATTATTGAATTTTAGATTATATTGAATTAGATTAGTTTTATTATATATAAATTATATTTAAAAATAATTGCTATACTACATGTTAAATTTAAATATTCTTGTTATATTTATAATTATTTATATCTATATTTTATTATTATTTTTTTAGATTTTTATTTTGTAAAATTTTAATATAAATATTTATTTAACATTTAATAGCTATACGACATTTTAGTATTGAAATTATACAGTGAACATACAAAAAAAAATTAATCACAAAAATGCTAATTATTTTGAATGTGATTTTTTAAAATTATTATTAATGATATTCTTACCGCTTTTGATGTCGATTTTTGTGACATTTTCTTTTAATTATTTAAATATATGTTTTATTTAAGTAGTAATAATAATAATATGAATAAAAAATATGATTATAATAAACAATATATACCTACATATAAATTATTTTACTTTTTTTTATTACTATATATTATTGTTATTAATTGTATTAAAAAATATGTGTTGTTATGACTACTACAGTACCAAAAAAATAAAAAATAAAATAATAGGTAATAGGTTGTTAAGGTAATCAACATTAGTTTATTTTTAGTATAGCTTTAAATAGCACACCCACACACACACACACACCGTACAAACAATATATTTAATTATTAAATAAAATATTTACTCAAAATTATAATAAGCTTTTAATTATAATTATTATAAACTAAAAGTATAACATTTATTTGGGCAAACATTGTTAAAAAAAACTTCATTGTATTTTTTATTTGATTAAAATTATAAAACTATACTAAATTCATATAATATAGTAACATTAAATTATTAATATCATATTAAAAATTATTAGTTTAATAAATTAATAATAATATAATATACATACTATGCATTATATTATATGTATTATATTATAGGTTGTACCGGTATAAATATCAATATAATTTGTTGATTAATAATTTAATTAAATTAGTATACAATGTAGAACTTAATATATAAAACTAATGTAAATATTTGATAGTAATCTACACACACACACACACACACACACACACACACACACACACACACACACACACACACACACACACACACACATACATACATACATACATACAAATATTTTTGGCATATTAGCTGACAAAAAAAATTATACAAGGGTAGATAACATCATCAGTAATAGTATACAGTAAATACTTATATATATATATAAGTATAAAATCTATATAATTTTTATATTAAACCTATATGTATATATATTATATTAATGTCTAAAAATTTATATTATAATATAAGTTAAACATATAAAAAGGGGGTAAAAATTATATATATATATGGTTATGCAATAAGCATACTAATAAAAGGGTAATTTTAATAATTAATTCAAGCAAACGTTTTTAAATAAAAAGACAAAGTGTGTGTATGGTTTTACATTGGTTTTGCGGTATATGTACAGTATATATATATATATATATATAAATTATATATAATAATAAAAAGTCTAAATTACTTTTGTGTATATTATTTCACTGAGTATTTATGATTTTTAAAAATAATGCAAAATCTTGCATCTGTTAGCCATCTGTTATTTCATATCATCTCTTTATATATATAGTACTGTATATATATATATATATATACCGGTACTTATAGATGTAAATATATATATATATTTCGGAAACAACTCAATGTCCACTTAATTGACGACTGACTCCTCCACACACACACACATACATACATAACAACACTGACTGAATGGTGTAATCAAATAACTAAAGGACTTTGACTTTTCACAGGAATAACTATAATATATAATAAAATTTTTACTCCTTTTACTACTATTTTTTCTGCCACTCATTTATACTGAATTTCATTCATTCATTATAATATATATATATATAAGCCTTTAGTTTTAACTGAAAAATTTTGTTGTTGTAGTTGTTGTTGTTATTTATTATATGGTATTATTCATTGTATGATTTTTATGTTTCAACAACAACAACGACAACAACAAACTTTATAATTTATTACATGTATATTATATTTTTTTTAACATTTGCTTTATAATAATAATGTTGTACGTGTTTTGTTAGTCGATAGTTAGTGAATGAAAGTTATAGATATATAATACATATAAGAGTTTTTTGTTGTTGTATATCCTTTTAATTATAAGTTAAGGCTATTTGATGGGGTCTTAAAAATCACTTCACTTCATATATATTGGTTGTTAGTGTCTCAACAAATATCAGATTACTTTAGTTAACCGATTGAGTCTCTCTCTCTCTCTCTCTCTCTCTCTCTCTCTCTCTCCTTAAGTTAAAGACTTTGCGGCTTTTAAAATGACTATTTGGGTGCCAAAAAAACTAACCGCTTTTTATATGTATGTATATATATATACAGTAATAAACAACTTTTTTTCTGGACACAAATCTCTACTCATTTTTATGACATTATACTTATATACTGTATATATATATAAAGTCCACTCAATTTAAGTGAGAGATTATAAAGAAAACTGTTTAAATAAATTATGTTATGTCTATAAACTGTTACTAACTATTGCATTGAATTAATGTTCACCAAAAAAAAAACTGTTACATCAATTATTGTAATAATTGTTTTTTTAAATTTAGTGGTTTTTAAAATTATATATAATATTAAAAATGTGTGTGAATTTAGCTTTAAATTTTGTTTATACTGTATTAAACTTAATACAGTATTATATAATTTACACATACAGTATAATTGCAGTATATATTTAGCATTATTTTCTGTATTAATAAAAATTTTACAAGAATTTTGAAAATTTTTATTTTCTATATTTTATTCATACATATAATTACTATAATATAATATATATATATAAAAGGATGTAATTATTAAAAAAATTATRMATTTTGTATGYCTGACTGTCTATTGTATGAATGTATGAGTGAGTGTGTATGTGTCGGTCGGCCGGTAGACACACACACATACATAAGCAATCAGTATATATTTATATATATAGAAGTAAAATGAAACCTCTTTTGGGCCGTAAATGAGCGGAAAACTGGAGACTTTTAGTCTTTTAAAAACCTTTAAAGTTTTGTCTCTCTCTTTCTCATTATAAAAGCAATCACCAGTAAAACAAAAGCAAAGCCAATATGAGGCAAAAATAGCAAAAATATATTATATATATATATATTTGAAAAATATTATATACATATATAYATATRTATATATAYAYACAAAGTGTTTGTATCGGCGACTCTGACTGTCAAACAGCAATCACATTGAAATGAATAATGAAAATTGCTTTTTGTGTATCAAATATCATATATGTATTATATCTTTAATGTATTACTGTGTATGTGTGCCTCACTTAAGACATTTTTACACACACACACAYACATACATACATACAGTACTGGTTTAACTATTCATTACAAAAATATTATATTATGGTCATTGCAATCATTTTCATCTGTGTCATACATGTACTGCCACTTGTTTGACAAAAACATATACATATATATATATATATATACACACACACACACACACAAACTTATGATATATTTATTTTTTAGCAAACATTTATTGCCAAACATTAATTAATTAGATTATAATATTCTGTAAGTATTTAACATTTTATAGTTATTGATAATAATGTATATTARAAATAATAATAATATAGACTATATATTGCATTTATTCATTGGTTTTTTATTTTTTGTTGTTTTGTTTTTTTTTCAAATACAAATAAAGTAATAAAATTTTTATTATTTTCAATATACTGTATAGATTTTTTAAAATGTAAATTGTAAATTATTAAATAACTGATATAATAATAATAATACTGTAATAATTATTGTTCAAATGATTATATAAATAAAACCAAAATAAAAACTGATTGATAGTGTTATCATTACGTAATAATACAAACTAATAAAGATAAATATTATTACTGTATTAATTATATTTAATTTWTTAAAAAAAACTTTATAACTCTATATATATTTTGTCAATCAATTTATAGGTAAATAAAACTTTCAAATGTCTGGATTTGTTTGTTTTTTTTAAATAATGAATACATAAAATAGTTTTTTTTATTTAAATATTATTTAATATATATATATAAGATGTGGGGATATATTCACGAAAAAAATAGCGACGAATGTATTGCAGTGCCGGCATGTATGGCAGCTCCGGCCGACTGATGATGAGCAGCCAACTGATGACCACCGGGTGCTGTCATTGCATAGCCCATCGACGCCGCAGTCGTACCGTTTGGCCAATTGGTTGGTCCGCGAAATCCRCCACCGGTTAGTATATCGTTGACTGTATGCGACGATGGCCAGTAGGTTGACCTGAGCGCAGCGGGTGTTGCATTGTATAGTGCAGCCGTAGCCGCGGCGTTCATACTGTGATGGACACTGTCGACACTGACACTGGTGTTGTCGACGATACCATACGGTGGTARTGTTGGCGGCGACGGGTGATGATGGTGGTGRCCCTGCGATGACTGATGATTCAGATGATGGTGATGATGATGATGGTGCAGATGAGACACTGGYGTTGTCTGACCAGATCCACCGCCGCCGCCTCCCGAACCGCCGGTCACTCCGATCTTATTGCGAAGGATACGACTTTTTTGAGGGGAGGAAAGGGATGCGAGATTTATATACAAAATAATATAATTATTAACATTTCAAATCTATACTACAATAAAACTAATATATATTTATATTTAGTGTAATTTTTTTTTCTTTGGTATGAATTTTTATGTTTGAGAAAATATTATTTGGTTTATATATTGATATAATCCATAAAATTATATATTATTATATTTATTATTGATTTATTATATATGATATTATTTATTTATTTTGCTTAAACTGCTAAAACATTTGCCAATAATATTTTKTTGACAGTAATAATATCCTATTAGTATTTGAAAGTTTTCAACTCATTAATTAAATTAATGTATTTTTTTAGGTACTGTATTTACTATACTATATATCATAGTATATTATCATATTTACTACCAATTTATTAATATTTATATTATTATCACACATTATAAAACATTTTTTTTTAAATTTTTGCTATTGTATGTATACTATAGTTCATATTACAAATATAAGTTCATCTAATAATATTAATGATTAATTGTTGGAAAATTATTGTATATTCAAGTATACATACAATACTTTATATAATATTTACTAAACTTTATTCAATTATACAATAATTTTTATATATGTGTGTTGTTAAAAAATTAAGATATAATAATATAAATTTTTTTCAAAAAACAAAGGTGTATAATAATAATATGTATTAAATAAATTTAAATTAAACATATATTTTAATTTAGACAATTAGTTATTAGACAATTACCTGATACTACTAACTGATGGTACGTTGTATTTATCACAAACACCGTCCTGTAGTAGCCTATCCCTGATCTCCCAGGCAAATATACCCGGGTCCTTTTGTTTTAGTTCACGTATRTATGATACCACCTAATAATMATAATAATAAAATCGATATTATATTGTATTGTATTAATAATTAAATAAATAATAATATTGTTAATTGTTTTTATAATATAGGCTATAGTATAGCCGCTATACTGTATATATAGATAATAATGTGTTTTTTTAAATACAGGTAATATATAATGATATTTTATTGATGACTATCTAATATTTAACMCAATAATTGTTAAAACAAATATTAATATACATTATATATTGATTTATATTTTTWAATTATATATATATATATGTWGTAATTKACTTACTTATAAAATACAATATACAGTAGAAATAATTTATATCATATAATTSTAATACTTATTATACTATACTGTGTATCTGTATATCTAATRTCTATAATTTGATTTTTTTAGCAAACAAAACAAAAAATAGACTTACTTTAGGTGTGGTAACCCTTGGTTTACTACCGCCAATAGCACCCGGAAGTATAGATCCGGTTTCATGATAACGGGCCAAGATTTTCGACACACAGCCATGGGATACACGCAATTGTCTACTGATATCACAAGGCCGGACACCCAACTGTGCCAATTCGACTATCCGTAATCTAATAGCATTGGGCAGTGGACGGCCATTAACAAAGACACCACCCAATTGGTTCACTTCGCCGTATCCCTGATTACAGTCAATACCTGATAATAACATATTTATTATTATTGCTGTTGTTGTTGGTCTACACACACATCAAATTGTTTATTATTATTATTATTAAATATTTTGTTTCAATTTTGTCAAAAAATCATTGCTAATCATGTATAATACAGTATATACTGTTTTTTATTATTATACAAAAAAAACAACAATTAAAAAAATGTTTGATTCAAATGGTTAGCTTAGTTTTATTGACGGAAAGCCCTATCGACACTTGAATTTTCTATTACTACTATTTAAGACACACACACACTCTCTTACTTAGAGAGAGAGAGTGAGAGAGAGAGAGAGCTCAGTGATGATGATGATGGTGATGGTGCTGATGATGGGAATGGGTATATGTATATGGGCTTTGTGTGTGTGTGTGTTGTGTGGTACATGCGTTTTATTGAGAGGGGACAGTCACATCACATCATATCCACTATTAGTAGTGATGCAGAATCAACAGCAGCAGCTCTTTCAGAGGGCTCCGGTATTTCACTCATTAATAGCATAGCATACCAGTGCATGGATGTATATGACACTGTATATATATATATATAGTAWATACTGTTCCCACTTGTTCCCCACGAATAGGCATCATCTTAAGCATAGTAGAGGGTGTGGCGCGCACCATCCAATTTTTTGAGAGGCCTATCCAATCGGCACTGGCAGCAAATAGYATAYTGCTTGTGCTACTACATAGTATGCCTSTCTAGTATTAAATACTACACACACACAAAAAACATGTTAAGCACCGCCAATCAAAACATATAGACACAYACACACACACACACATAATCACATASATATACACACACACGTTATATAATATAATTTTGTTTTTTGTTTGTTAACAAAAAACAATATTTAACATAACTTTTTTAGAATTTAAATAAAGATATTTATATATAAWTMTATAGATATTTATTAGAGATTTTTCCCAATGAAATTGAAATTTTTTTATATAATATATTTTGTTTGAAAGCCTATAATAWTAATAATAATTTTTAAAAAATCAAGACATCATCAGATAATGCAGGCATTTATCTAATTATTTGATTTAGTWTTTTKTTGTTTTGTTTTATTTTTGTTGTTGATATTTTGCTATGAATTTTTGTTGTTGTTGTTAACAATGAAATATTAAAAATTGTCATTTATAATTAGTTGTGAGATTATAAATTATTATTATTATTATTATTATATTAATTTAGATATAGWTTTATTTAAACTATAWCTAAAAATTTATAATCAAATTTCAAAACTTTTATCAAATTGAAATATTTTATAATTTAAAATATAAATTAATYTATTAATATATTTTTAGCTTACTTAAAGTTAGAGAAATTTAAATTAATTATATATTATTAAATTAAAACTTTATTTAAAAAAAATTAGTTTATGMATATTTTATCATGTTTACTTATATATATATATATAAATTGTATATAGCTTAAATCTTATTTTATTTAAGTTTCTATTRTTAGTATACAATATTGCATTAAATACAAATTGCATTTAAAAAGCAATATCATAAGTATGTGATAAAATGTAAATTTGAAATCTATATGACAATAAAATTATTCAACTTTTTTTAGGTATAAATATGTTTTATTTTACAGCATTTTTTGTTTAGTGAATTATGCATACAATAAGTGACAGCAAAAATGCATTTACAGTACTGTTGTTATTATGTACTGTATATTTAATATGTATGTCTAAAAAGGGGTTTCGTTTTGTGTGTGTGTGTGTGTGGGGTTAACTGATACACATAAAAATATTTTTGTACCAAAAAAACAGATAATTGAAATTGTTTGACGCCAAACAAGTGCAACAATTTTTAGCATAATTTTTGWGAGAGAGAGAGTGAGAGAGAGAGAGAGAGAGAGAGAGAGAGAGAAATGTTTAGCATTTTTCCCTTTTATATAATTTTGTTGTTAAATAAATTACATAATAATAATCATAATAATTTGTAATCAATAATTTTTGTAAATGTATTTAATTGTGTGATGAGTGTATACCAAATGATAACTACATTTTTAGCATTATTTACAAACATTCAATCAAATTATGTAGTAATTAGTTATTTACTGAAAAATATTTTTTTTTTTTTGAAAATGATAATTTTATTTAACAGTATTTGTGTTTTAGTTAAAAAAAARTTATTATATGAAATTTTAAAAAATAATAATAATTTATAAATAACTGTTATATTTTTAAAATAAATTGTATTATAAACAGAATTTTCAATTACATAATCGGGTTAAATGTTATGTTTTGAAAACATAACCCTTAATGTCTGTTAAGCTATACTAAACTCATATCACTCAAAGCCGATATACGGTATATATATATAGTTAAGTATATATATATATATATATCTATAAATTGGATGAGAGAGAGAGAGAGAGAGAGAGAGAGAGAGAGAGAGAGAGAGAGAGAGAGAGACAGTTCAAACAAAACAAAAACATTTGACTTTTGCAGCTGTTTTGCTCTCAATTTTTATCTCTGATTTTTTTTTTCTTTGAAAAAGACTCGTCTATTTCACACCAAAATTTCTGTCAAATGTTTGAACACAATATAAATGAAAAAACATTTAGATTTCTGTCTAAAATAAAAATTTTTGTTTCCAGTGATATTTGGTGTGCAAAACATTTAAAACATTTATATATATATATACTTTTTGCTTTATCTCTCTCTCTCTCTCTCTCTCTCTCTCTCTCTCTCTCTCTCTGTGATACTATAATTTGACTATTATTAATACTAATGCGCTTAAAAATGTTTGTATGGTTTATCAATGATGATTGTCATTACATTTTCACTTTTTTTAAATATCATTAGTTTTTCTTTTGTGTGGTATATATAYATATATAGTACTGTATTTGCTATGAAATTCATGCAAAAATGTTAGGATTTTCTTAATTTAGCACAATATAGGAGACACACCGTATAATTGACTTAATAGACTGTATTTTTCTGTGTGTGTGTGTGTCTTATAATACAAAAATTAGTCACTGTTTGTATTTTTATAATAATAAATAATTAAATTATTTTTTTGAATTTATTTTCTATTTAAAAAGTTTAATCTGCTTTTTCAAGCARTTTTTTTTTGCAAAATTTATATATATTTTATATATATATAAACGATTGATTTATTACTGTTTTAACTCTGTATAATTATATTGTTTAAATAAAATGCAATTTAAACTAAATATTTTTTTTGATATTATAATATATGTATGCTATATATAATATATAATAAATTTAGTGTTTAGCATAAAGAATATATATATATATATTTTTATTTTACTAATAATAAGAATATATGTAATTTATTGTACAATATTTATATATACTATATATATATATATATATATATATATATATATACAAAAATTTATAAATAGTTTACATAAAAACAGTACAACTAATAAAATMGATAAAAACATATTATACAGTATATTATAATCATAATAATAATAATACAATAGTTATATTGAAGTGCATTTGACGGCAAAAAAATAAATGCACATTWAGTTTGCATAGCAAATGGCATTTTTTTTATTTACATATAGTGTATATACTGTACAATAATACAATATAAAAGTGATACTCAAAAGTGTATAATAGTAGTCAAAAAAAGATATAGTTTTTCAACCAAAAAAAAATATTGTGTATCTCTTTCTTAATGAGCGGCAGAGCATTGAGTGTAACCGTGAAAATGCATTACGAATTACAAGAGTACACATTAGGCATTCACTCCTTATACCCAATGAGATATACCATAGAGGGAGAGAGAGCACAGGGAGCTTGAAAAAAACGCACTGTGCCAGCAATAATGATACTGTTAGTGTATATTACTCTAGCACTGACAGCAAGCATACTGTATCCATAACCAGCACCGGGAGCTCATCTTCTTCTTATTTCACTTCTTGTTTTTCGGCACTTTTCACACAATCTCTCTCTCTCTCTCTCTCTCTCTCTCTCTCTCTCTCTCTCTCTCTCTCTCTCATAAAGATGTGATTGTAATTGAAGTTAGAGAGAGAGAGAGAAGAGAGAAACTTGAAAATTATGAATTAGTTTTTGTTGTGGACTCATATGTATGCATATAAATATATATGATATATATATAAATAAATTGTATGTTTTTTTTTGGTATGTATGTACAGTACTGTATGTATGTGTGCAGATAATTGTGTGCCTTTTTAACCAAAACAGTTAGATGTAATGCCGACACGACTATACTCTTAAAAACACTTACCAAACAACACAAGAGTATACTGTAGTAACTGTTTTTGTTAAAAAGTACTTTTAGTTTTGCTTTGACTACTTTAATACTATTAAAACAAAAACCTAACCAAACCATAGCTCATATGAAAACATATCTCATATCCAGATGTTATGAATCCATCCATCCATCCATTGCCAGCTCTCTCTCTCTCTCTCTCTCTCTCTCTCTCTCTCTAAAGTCATATATTTAATATATARTAATAAATATATATTAATTTGAATMAAAATTTATAWATAAAATGATTTTKAACTAGRTTATATAATTTTAATAACTAGACAATCAATTRGRAATATAACAACWATTAAAAACAATAATTACTTTTTACCTAGCTTAAAAGATACTATAATAATAATAATTATAATTTAAGTTAATTAAATATATATCTATAATAAATAAATATTATCCTAAATTAAAAATTGTTATCTTGCAAAAAAAAGTTACAATATTGTTTTGATTAAAAAATTTTAAWTATAAAATATACAGAATAATTGWTTATTAATGTAATGCAATGTTATTACAATATTATTCAGTGCTATGTTTTTTAGTTAAGTCAATCACACACATACTAAATAGTGTAGTTGAATATCAATTTTTATTAWTATTATTATTATTTAACATTTGTGGATAAAAATATATTCACATATAATAGTTTTTTTTATATAAAAATAATAATAATATAGTAGACATGTATATGCTTAATTAAGTGATTAATTAGCACATTAAATATATATTTCTTGCATTTAACAAAATAAAATAAAAAATTATTTTATGCATTTTCATTTATGCATTTTCATGCAACCATAATAATGTTAACTACAATAATAATAATAATAATAATAATAATATTAGTATTAGTGAAGTGAAACAGTTGAGATGCATTTGTGACGATATATAATCATTATTATTATTATTATTTGTAAATAAAAATAATATTATATTAAGATTTTTATTTAAACAAAAATGCTATTAAATATCATAAAAAAAATTCCAGACATATACTGTATATTTATATTGACTAATAATTAGTAATTAGCAATACTGTTGGTGTGTATGTGTTGTCTAATATATAGGTATAGCAACAAAAAATATATGGTATCATACCATATGATATATGSTATAGTGTTTTCCCCCTAARACAAAATAAGTAAATGAGTTTTACAYACAAAAATGTTGTCAACTGGATATTAATATAAGTCATAAAAAAAGCCGCAAAAAGCAATGATAATTACGGGTATAAGTCGTCTAATTATGGCATTCAAGGAATGTCTGTATAATATGACTGAGACTCCGACCGATAGTCTCTCTCTCTCTCTTTGAGTTTAAAGACCAAACAGATAGATAGGACAGACACATCCACATCACACACACACAAACTACAAGAAACTATATGTTTTATCCATCCTCTCACCAATCTATAGTCACATTAGTAAAAAAAAGTAAAAGGAACGGTAGTTTGTTTTTGCGGCATACAGTACATACATGTATAGATCGGGAGTCTTTTAAGCGATTTTTTTTACWGTACAAGACTTTAGTGTTGTTGTGTCAAAGATATGCCGTTATATATTCATATTATAATAAGAAAGAGAGAGCTAAACACACTATCATCTGAAAAAATGATTGAATGAACTGTAAGTGAGTGAGAGAGAGAGAAAGAGAGAAAGAGAGAGAGAGAGAGAGAGAGAGAGAGAGAGAGAGAGAGAGAGAGAGAGAGAGTATGTGTCTATAAAGTACATGTCTTCGCATAACTATTACTCTATATTTTTTCATAATTTTTTGGTTATAATTTCTCTCTCTCTCTCTCTCTCTCTCTCTCTCTCTCTCTCTCTCTCTCTCTCTCTTAAAGAAGTCTTCCAACGAATTGCGGCGGAAATAGTGGCGAATATATAGACGTCGTCACCCAAAATGCAAGCACTGGTAGTTACGATATGATATTATGTATATGTATGAGAGCACTGGTAGTTATATATATACAGTATATATATATATCAATATATTCTATATCTATAGTATATGTCTGGTGAGACGGCTCTATGAGATGATATGACACTTATTTTTATTATCATATTATATGATTTACATTAAATATTATTATGTAAATTAYAGTATTATATAGTGAATACTAAATGTTTAAATACTAGACTATATAATGCATATTAATTAAATATTTAATGATGATATTTAAAATAAAGATARTGTTATAAAGTAAATCTAATAATAGTTGTCTTTATTGTTATTATTATTATTATTATATTTTTWAAAAAGTAATAAAATGTTGTCTAAAACAAAAAATAATATACTGGAATTTATTTGTTTTTTATTTTTAATTTTATATATTAAATAGTTTAAAACTCAAACGTGTGTGTGTGTGTGTGTGATATTGAAAATAATAAAATTTTAAAAAATATATTATATTATTATTTTTAAAATATGCAAATTAATATATATATATATATAGTATAATATTATAGTAATGTATAAGAAAAAATTATAGTATATATTATTATTATTATCATTTCAATAGATGATGTAATTCAATGCTAAAAGTATATTCAAGGGTTTTTGGTGTTTAAATTCAAACTATTTTCCAAAACAAAAATCATCTCATTTTCTTCTCATCTATTTTTGAGATCCATATTTAAGATAAAGAGGTAACAGATTTTTAGTTATGATTATTGTCACCCAAATAGTGAATTACTTACTGTATATATAACTAACTATAGACTCTATAGACTATAGTAATGAAAATCGCAGACAATGTTTTAGTTTTTCAAGTTTTCATTTTCCAATTATAATTATAATTGACTTTAAAAAAATGTTTAGGGAAAATAGCAACATATAAACATATATGCCATTAATATAGTTAATATGATACTAATATATATTAAATATAACCTAATATTTATTATGGTTTTTTTTGGTAGCTGACATAAAATACATTATTAATAACTATCTTAAATGATGAACCTAAAAAAATGATAATATAGTAAAGTATATAAATATTAGTAATTAAAAACAATATGTTTTTTTTGGGTGAATATAATAAATATTCAAATAAATTTGTATTTGAATACTATATTTGAAATATAGAATTATTATTACCAACTAATATATTCTATGCTTTAAAATTGCATAAAATTATATATATAGAGAGTATAGTATATTATTAATATATTACTAAAATTTATGTTATATTTATGGTATTATTGATTGTATAGTGAATTAATCTCTTTTTTCTCTTCCAATAATACATTGATTTGTACGGTATATATACAGTATATATATATATATATATATATATATATATATATATGGATACACTATGTAATAGTCGCCCAAAAAAATATTCAAAAAAAATTATCGCTTCATTGAATAAGTATAACAAATTCATTGACATAGCATAAGTAAACCATGCGGTAGGTATTGGATGGGTATATATGGATGGTATGGATGTATGGATGCGCTGACAATATCCATAATAATCAATGGATGTCTTTCTTGTACTGTATTATCTCTCTTTATATTTTTTTGGGAGGGGAGGGGGACTTCACAATCTTTATTATATATAAACTTATAATGATTTTTGTTGTTATGTTTTTTCCAATGAAATAGTATTATAGTCAATAGTTATAGTCTATTATTATTATCATCAATATTGATCAGTACCTACCACATAGGCAATAATCATACACACAAATAACTAACTGTACACTATTTAACATTATTATTATTATAATCATAATGTAAATCTATATATATATATATATATATATATATACATATTAGTCTTAAATAAACTATAATAATATAGTAAAATATTTCAATAGAATAAAAATAATAAAATCATTAAACATATTTTTTAAATTATATTAAAAGTAATATACAATTTTATTATTTAATAAAAAAATTTATTTTCTATAATTTAGGCAACTATACAGTACTAATACCATTGCTAATTATTATTACTGTATTATGATATTATGTTTTAATTTTTTTTTATTGAAAAATATCTATAAGTAATTTCTACATCATATATATATATAACTAGAAAAAAAAGTTTACTAAATAAAATTAAAAAATATTTTCCCATAATATACTAGATATTATAGATAGGATATTATTATTATCAATATTTTCTATAACACAGAATATACAGTACAGTATAGAATCAATGATATTATATAATACTATACACAGAATATATCATAACCACTACAAATAAATTGACGTAATTTATGGACATATTTTCAATATACCAATAATACCTGTACATTGCATGCAGTAGTATTACAGTCTAATACAGTCAATGCAATTAATTAATTGCATTATTATTATTATTTTTTATATTATTGGGTATTGTTTTTCCCATATATTTTGTATGTTTTTTTGCATACATTTGTATAAATACCATAAACACAATGCTATTATAGTTTTTTTTTCAACAAAAAAAACTATTGAAACTATTATAGTATAGTAAATATTGCTGTATTTACTATAGTATTTAGTATTCAATATATATATATATATTGCTTATAAATTGGTTAATACTTTACTATACTTTTACTGTAATAATAATAATAGCAATAATAATAATAAGCCATACATTGTATTACATACTAATGTATTGACAACTCTATCATATAATTAGCTGCTATTATGTGTTGAGTCAGTCAATCAATCGTTTACTATATTATTATTAATACTAAATATATTTATTTAATATAACTATTAATTTAATAGATTATAACTAATCGCTAAAACATAACAACCCATTAGCTGTTTATCTGATATATATTAGTATATCATATATAATATGTGATCAAAAAATTTGTTGTTTACTTATAATAATAACCATTATATCCATTGACTACAGTATATAATGATGCAAATGATTGTTTGTTTTGTTGTGTCCATCATATCCTTCTCCTCCTCTGCGGTAATAACTAGTGATAATTGTAATAATAATGTCTTTAATGTCGTCAACAACAACAACATCATCTGAAGACAACAATAGCCGACGATTTATTAATAATCCAAATCCTCAAAACAGATCCCAAAAACGTGTAACCATTAGTGAGCCGTTAAACAAGTGGTCGACGACTAGGAGGACGACGACGACAACGACGAAGAGGACTACTGCTAGTGATAACAATACTACTACAAGAACTGCTGTATTGATTGCCGTCGACGACGACGAGGACGTCAACGACGAGGAAGACATCGACAACCATAACGAAGATAATACTTCTACTACTAAACGCCGTTTGAAGTTAATCGCCGACCAATCGGACGACGACGACGAAGAGTCAGCCATTGAGTCTACAGAATCGGATTCGCTTCTCAAGACAGGCAACAGTTTAGCCATCAAGAGGTTAGAGATTTTTTAAACAATTGATTCAAAGATAGATAGACAGAGAGAGAGAGAGAGAGTTTGAAACAATTGATTCATAGATAGACAGAGAGAGAGAGAGAGATGGGATCAATTGATTCATAGATAGACAGACAGAGAGAGAGAGAGAGAGAGAGCACTGAATTATCAGTTATGACCATTGAATTTCTCGCCAATTAAGTGATATTTATTATATCATTATTGATATTAATTTATGTATTTTAAATTTTATTATTACTCCACAAATTGCATACATTTAATATATCATATTATAATACTGTATAAGAAATGGTAATATAATAATAATAGTTTTTTTTGTTGTCAATAATGTTTACACCAAAATCATTGCTTATACATACGGTATATATGATATCATTGAACTAAAACTAAAACAATAATTTTGATGTTTATAAATATGATATACATATTTAAATAAAAATATTTTTGTTATAAATAATCATACGATATATAATAGATATGAAATTTGTTTGTCAATTATTGTTGATTTTTTGATAGACATTACATTACACACACATTTGATATACATATGTAAATATAAGGTTACAGTAGTATTAACTTATTTAATGCATTGGTTTGCAATCACTAGTAATAATAATACAGTAATACAGTATTATAATTATATAAATCAAAAATATCTGCAAAATCACTATTAGTTAACACAATTAATTAGATAAATAGTTTTATGTGTGATATATGATATCATATTTATTTATTTTTTATATAGAAATGTTTTTCCATATTTTATTAGTATTGATAAACAACTGATTTTAATTTTTTTTAGTAATTATATATTTTTTTAAAATTTTATTGTCATTTCTGAACCATTATCACCACCAGTAAGAGGAGGAGCCGCCGAAAGCAATCGGTTTACTGTTGTTTGTGTCAATCGGTTAGCATTTGTATGTCAGCAATGGTTCGCTTATTATTTGGTAAAAAACAACTAAAACCGCGAACAGTTTATGTCCGCGGATCCGATATGTTCAACGATCGGACAAAACAGACATCGTTTCCGGCAAATATCATCCGAAACCAGAAATACAATATATTGACATTTCTGCCAATCGTTTTGTTCAATCAGTTCAAGTTTTTCCTAAATCTATACTTTCTGTTGATGGCCTGTTCTCAGTTTATACCCTCACTGAAAGTCGGCTATATCTATACCTATTGGGCACCCCTGGGGTTTGTCCTCGGAGTGACACTCATACGCGAAGCTGTCGATGATATATTGCGGTTCAAACGCGACAAAGCTGTCAACTGTCAGTTGTATCAGAAGCTGACCCGCGACGGACCCCTAGCCATACATAGTTCACGTATTAAAGTCGGCGATCTGATAGTGGTCTCAAAGGATCAGAGGGTGCCGGCAGATATGGTTTTCTTGAGGACCAGCGAGAAAAATGGGGCCTGTTTTGTACGAACTGACCAATTGGATGGTGAAACCGATTGGAAACTTAGACTCGCCGTATCGGCCACTCAGACACTTGATTGCGATGACAATCTATTTAGTTTAGACGCCTATATTGATGCCGAAGAGCCCCGCCGTGACATTCATAGCTTTACCGGAAAATTTACTGTAGATTCGGGTATTTATTGATAACACATATACCGGTATTTATTAGTATCATTTGAATAACATTTGCATTTTTTTTATTTCATTTGAATTAATTAGGGAATAAAGAGATTTCGTTGAACATTGAAAACACATTGTGGGCCAACACAGTGATAGCGTCTGGTACTGCAATTGGTATTGTGATATATACGGGACCCGAGACCCGGTCAATGATGAACAACAATGAGCCCCGAAGTAAAGTCGGTTTACTCGACTACGAGGTCAACTCAATCACAAAAGTGTTGTTTGCAGCGGTTGTCTTATTGGCGTTAGCTATGATATGCCTTAAAGGTATGGTTTGATAATATTTGTGTTTTATTATTATTATTAAAATTTTATTTTATTAATTCAAACATATATAGGGTTTAACGGTCCCTGGTATAGATACTGGTTCCGATTTGTCCTATTATTTTCCTATATTATACCAATTAGTTTGCGTGTTAATCTGGAAATGGGACGAGTAGTCTACTCATATATGATCCAACGAGATATGGATATACCGGGAACATTGGTCCGGACCACAACCATACCCGAAGATTTGGGACGTATTTCCTATTTGTTAACCGATAAGACGGGAACACTGACCCGTAACGAAATGGTATTCAAGAAAATACATTTGGGAAAGATATCCTACGGACCCGAATATTTCGATGAATTAGCCGCACTATTGCGCTTATCATATGCACCGCAAACGGCTGCCAACTATCAGACCCACAAACGTGACAGTTCGACGACCAGTACTATTAGTTTCGATCCCAGACAACGCCAATTTCATCAGCGACACGCCCGTATTGATTCGTACGAAGTTGATCGGGACAGTGTTATACGTGTCCAGCAAACCGTACTGGCCATTGCCCTGTGTCACAATGTCACCCCTTCCTATGATAATGGATCCAATCCTTTTTTTGACAGCAATGATGTATCGAAACCACCGATTGGTAAATCTAAAATTAATTCAACAATAGTTGTAGTTTTAATTAAATTATTAATATTATTGATCCGATAATTGCCAGATTCAGCAGATACTGTATCGATACCAATGTTACAGAGAGGTATCACCTATCAGGCCTCCAGTCCCGATGAGGTAGCACTGGTACAGTGGACCGAAAAGATGGGTTTGGCACTGGTCTACCGTGACCTGACTACTATGAAATTACGTAATCCTGTCGGCACTATAATCGGTTTCGATATTCTTCAGATATTTCCGTTCAGTTCGGAAACCAAACGAATGGGAATCATTGTCAGAGACCACAAATCAAACGAAATAATGTTTCTATTGAAAGGCGCCGATACTGTTATGTCGACGATTATTGTCTATAGCGATTGGCTTCAGGAACAGTGCGATACTATGGCACGCAATGGTCTCCGGACTCTTGTAGTGGCAAAGAAGACCTTGAGTGAGGAACAGTACGCCGAGTTTGAGGTTCGCTATAGTCAAGCGAAATGTTCAATGAGTGACAGAAATGCTAAGATAAGCGCCGTATTGGCTAATCTTGAAAAAGATTTGGAACTCCTTGGACTAACCGGTATGTGTGTTGTTGTCTATGATTTTTTTTATATATACGGGTATAATGTTATTAACTTTAAAAAAAATAATAAATAAATCAGGAGTTGAAGATCGACTACAGGAAGGTGTGGCCACAACATTGAAAGGACTACAAGACGCTGGTATTAAGCTCTGGATGTTGACCGGCGATAAACTGGAAACAGCTATCAGTATAGCCAAGTCGTCACAGTTGGTCAAAAAGATGCAAGAATTCTATGTATTTCGACCGGTCAAAAGCCGAACAGAAGCACATCTCGAACTAAACAATTTTCACCGAAAATCCGACTGTCCGTTGATTATTCGGGGCGAAGATCTCGAACTATGTATGAAATTCTATTCGACAGAGTTTATGGAACTGGCCTGTCAGTGCCCGGCAGTGGTTTGTTGCCGATGTTCGCCAACACAGAAAGCCGAAGTAGTCAAACTGATCCAAAATCGTACCGGTAAACGTACACTTGCGGTCGGCGATGGCGGCAATGATGTATCAATGATACAGACGGCCGATGTTGGTGTGGGTATTGTCGGCAAAGAAGGACAACAGGCATCACTTGCGGCCGATTTTTCAATACTTCAATTTAGTCATATCTATCGCTTGATACTATTGCACGGCCGTTACAGTTATAAACGATCGGCTACTTTAAGTCAGTTTATTATACACCGGGGACTCATAATCAGTACACTTCAGGCCATCTTTTCGTCAGTCTTTTACTTTGCATCCGTTGCCTTATACCAGGGTTTCTTAATGATCGGTTACGCCACAATCTACACAATGTTTCCCGTATTCAGTATCGTATTAGACAAGGATGTATCGCCCCGACTAGTCATGCGTTATCCGGAACTCTACAAACTAATGAAAGGCCGTTCCCTCAGCTACAAGACATTCTTCATTTGGGTACTCATCAGTATATATCAGGGCGGTGTCATTATGTACGGTGCAATGCTACTGTTCAACGACGAATTCATCCATGTAGTGGCCATTACGTTCACGGCTGTCATACTAACCGAACTACTGATGCTGGCCCTAACCGTACGCACCTGGCATTGGATGATGATTGTGGCCGAACTGATCTCCCTATCCACCTATCTATTGACACTGATAGTCGCACCGCAATATTTCGATGAAAAATTTATCCAAACGCGTGCCTTCCTATGGAAAGTGACACTATTGACGGTAGTGTCGTGTCTACCACTCTATATCCTGAAGTTTGTTCACCGAAAGATTGCACCGCCCAGTCATTCAAAGCTTACCTAAAAAAAACCTAATATTTTTATTTAACTTTTTTTTAATCAAATGTTTTTTTATATAAAAATCATTTCATTTGTTTTTTCCTCTAATTATTATTATTATTATAATTCCATTAGTTTTTTAGTAATTAAAAAAATATTTATTTTTATCTAAAAAAATCAAAAATCACTAAATCTCTGAATAATATAATAGACTAAATCTCTATTATAGGTATATATAATAATAATATTGTTATTTAATTATTTAAAAATGTTTATTAATCAATATATTTGATATGATTATCTAATATAATGGATATTTAAAAAATAAATTATGAAACAATTAAAAATTATGTTTTTTAAAAATAGTTTAATTAAATTATTGTTTTTATACATTAATTTTTGTTTATATAATACACACACAAACTCTCATTCAAACTTTCATTCATCGATATGCGGCTATAACTTGGGCTACATTTTCGAGATCAATCTTTTCGGTGATATTCTTAGTCTTGATGTTCTCTTCCTGATTGGTAACAAACACTAAACCCTTTTCCGCTTCTTCATTGTCACCGATACCGCCGTCTTTCCAGCCCATTACCGACATCCAATGTTTCAGGTCATTGTCAGCCAAATCGCCCAACAGTACGCTCAGCGACGTCTTCTTGATGGTCTGGTATGTGATTTGAATGACGTGACAAATGACTGGGTATTTAAACAACAAAAAAATTAAATACAAATTAATCTTTCATTTGATTATCACATTTGATTGATACATACATTTGCGAATAGAGTCCTCAAATCCGACGATCCCTTTGTACAGCAATGGATTTTCCAATAGTTCCTTCTGTTTTGGTGGTGAAAAACCAATCGAAGAATAAGAAGAGAAAGAAAATCATTATTAAAAACTATCGCTTGATTTATGGTAATAGATATATCACATGAAATCAATTGGGGTTTTTTTTATTAAACAAACAACAAAATCTGTAACACTTAACACAAAATATCTTATTATAAGTCAATTGTCATAAGATATTTGGAGAAAAATAAGTGTCCAATTAGTTTAGTCCAAAAGCGAAAATCTTACAAAACGTCTGAAATTGACTTTCATTGTAAAATCATTTGAATTGGACCCGAAAGGATGGGGGGGAAAGGTATGAAAAATACTAGAGAAGCGCTTATATACCCAGAAAACTTCAAAATGACACGTTTCAAGCAATTCATGCAACCGTTGTATCCCTTTGATGGTGTCGTCTTCCAACAGCTGGCTATCGATCAGACATTTGCAAAGAACAAAATCAGTGTTCGGCAGTGCCGTCAACGCCTTCAACAATATCTTCACGACTGTTGTCTTTTTCGTCTCTTTCGGATTAAACTGATACAACTTCAAGACGGCCAGATTGGCCTCAATATCGTAGTAGTTGTCCTCCGATTGCCGATCGATATAAAACTCCAGTTCTTCCAAGTTGTCCGGATTGTAACTAAATGGTAAAAAAAATGTGCCGACAATTGTGGGATCAGTTTGTCGTCGTGTGATGTGGTGGTGGAGGACTAACTTACCGGTCAATTCCCCGAAGCATTTGCTTAATCTTGGGCTGCATTTCTTCGGCCATCGTTTACTGTTTCCGGTGTCTGTCTGTGTGTGTGTCTTAACCAGTGATCAAATCAATTGTCTTTTAAGACATGTGCGGACACGTGTTGTGTGTGTCTAATGAATGAATGATTGAATGACTGACTGAATGTATGGATGAATAGCACGACATATAGTGTAGAAAATAGGAAACCACGTGACCATTCAATTTGTATGGTTAACACATACATACATAGAAATATAGAGGAATTACTTATGCAAAACTCAAAAACAAAAATATTTTAAATATAATTATTTTCTTAATTAAATAACTAAAAAAATTTTCTAACATTGTTTGACTATAAATTATATTTTTTTAAATTAAAAAAATATAAGTAATTTTTTTGTAATTATTTTTTTTTTTAAATTTCCTAATATTTTATGTTTCCAGATGTCCGGCAAAAAACATTACAAACTAAGCGGTCATCTGTTATCACTGTTTGTATGCATGAGTTATACTGTATATGACATCAATAACGTTGGTCTCCAAACAACACTAACAATACAGTGTTGACCCGTTTTTTTTTGTGTGACCACCCGATTGATTGAYTGGTATAGCCACTGGTCAACTGGTGTTTAGCCGAAGCCACACACAAATGGACAGCCAATTGCAACGGGACGGCCGTCTATTGCAATTAGTGGACAAACAATGGCGAGAAGATATGAAACARTTGCCATCGGAAGACATTGCCGTACCGGTCATGCAATTACCCGATCCCGAACCGGATAAYGGYAATCCAAATGAGACATTAAAAGATCTGGAGCTYAAGTGGACAGATCTGGCACTGAATCGTATTACTAGTCGTGACAAYAATAATAATAATAGTCACGCGAACGGCAATTGATTGACAACAACAACAGCACGTGTTTTGTCGTCATTTGTTTTGTAAAATATATTGCGTTTTGAATAAAGACATTAAAAGACATTTATCTGTGTCCTCAAAAAAAAATGTTGTTWTACCGATCGTTGTGTCGCCGATTAAGACAACAACAAAATGTCTTAGTCGACRGGTATCGACAATGTGTGTCCGTTAAGGGTAAGTAACAATCGTGTCATCGGTGCCGACGTCGGCTTGAAGAAGAGATTGACGTGATTTAGTCCATGTCTTATACATTTAGCATTYGTCSTCKTCATCAACGWCAYCGTCGGCCACCGGTTTGAGTATCTATTCGGCTATACAGCCAACCGGTTCACTACATTTGGGCAACTATTTCGGCGCWATTCGCCAATGGATTGGCTTTCAAACTGACCAACAAGTTTCGMGAACCGTTTACTGTATAGCCGATTTGCATGCCATGACCACCATTACCGACCAGCAGCTTATGCGCGACAATATCAAGTCAATGGTGGCCACACTTATCGGTTGCGGTGTCGATCCAAAACGATCGCTTCTCTATCGGCAATCAGATGTCCCATATCATGGCCAGCTATGTTGGATTTTGTCCACTTTGGTAACAATGCCGCAGTTGTTTCGATTCCCRCAGTTTAAGGTGAGGTTTGWYTATTGGCTACCAGTTCTMTCTCTCTCTCTCTATAGATCTAATCGTAACTTATTTATCGATTATTTTTCAGGACAAAACYGAAGGCATGAAAGAGATACCATTAGGTCTATACTTATATCCTGTCCTTCAAGTGGCAGATATTCTACTATTCAAGTCAAACGCAGTTCCCGTCGGCGATGACCAATTACCACATTTGAATTTTGCCCGACATTTRATCCAAAAGTTTAACACAACGTTTGGCACTGGATTTCCCGATCCGATAGCCATAAGYCCGCAAATGACGGGTCGTATACGTAGTTTGAGATCAATCGACAAAAAGATGTCCAAATCGGAAGCAAACGATAAGTCAAGAATAGAGATAACCGATAGCGCGGATGAAATCCGAKTGAAAATACGTAAAGCTATTACCGATATGACATCGGAAGTGACGTTTGATCCGCAAAATAGGCCCGGAGTTAGTAATTTGGTAACCATTTATTCATTAGTCACTGGCTTAACACCCGAACAAGTTTGCARCGAAAATGTCGGCAAAAATACCGCTGAATTCAAACAAGTTTTAAGCGATTTAATTGTCGAACATTTGCGACCAATTCGTGACAATATCTTAAGACTAATGGCCGACGAACTGTATATCGAACAAGTGCTCATCGATGGCCGCATACAAGCCATGCTTATTGCCGAACAAACAATGGCTGAGGTCAACGATGCCATCGGTTTCGGTGCTTTTAATTCACAATTTAATTCACGTATTAATGTCGATACTGTTTGATATATAGATTATTTTATATATATATATAATTAATTACCGGTAATAATAATAAAATTTTTACATATAATTACGATTGTATGCGTATAGTTATACTGTATGTTATGTTAATTTATARTATATATAAACTACTGGTACTTTCTAACTGATAACTTATTAGTTAATTGTTGTTTAATGTTTGCATCGACCGATTCAATGGGACTGTTTACCCGTAGGGCGTACTCTAGTTTCTGTAACATATAGATATCGGGCTTAAACGACACAAACGTACTGACCAGACACTGCCCGTTGACACCTAAACGACCCGTACGTCCCGATCGGTGAATATAATCAGATACATAACGTGGACAATCAAAGTTGATTACATGGCGTACCTTAAGAAATATGTTAAATATCGGATCAGTTCCTAAATCCAATAAAACGTTTTAAATATTTTTTTAGTCAAATATCTTACCCGTACGGTATCCAAACCTCTTGAGGCCAAATCGGTACACGAAATAACATTACAGTCACCTCTTTGAAACCGTTCGAACTGATCGATACGTTCATCATCTGATAGTTCGGCATTAAGTCGAAGACATTGAACACCATTTTCATTGAGATAATGATAGACCCAATTGCTGGCATCCGATCGATTGGTGAATATCATTAACGGCCGGCCGTCGCGGACATCTTTCTTGACCAGTTCGATGAGTTTCAAGTCGCGATCGTATTTATGTAGCCGATAAAAGTCTTGTCGCACGTGTGGCATAATATGATGCAATCGTTGAGTAGATATACGATCAATGTTTGCGTCAATGTCGACCATCTTTCCCAGTGTTTGCGGTAAATTTGTCGGCAATGTTGCACTTACACACATCAATTGGGTACCAATTGGCGGTTCCGGTGGTCCATCAGATGAATAATGTTCTTCATTATCACTGTCAGTTTTGTTGTCATTGTCTCTCACCTATCAAATGCAAAAAAWATGATAATTTTTTGTMTCTTTGTTTCTGTAATACAAACCATAACATTGGCCAATATGTCTAAGATATCGCTACCAAACGTATCGTCAAACAATGTATCGCTTTCATCKATCACCAAATGGTTTAGCCATTTGAATGAATAGATATCTAAAAGTAAAACAATAAMCSCGTAATCATCAGTAAARTAATATAMTTTTAAGATATGACTGAAATACAAACTTCTCTCAAACATCGGCCGAACCAAACCGATAGTCGATATGATTAAATCCATTCCCGAGTGAGTCATATGTTTTGGCTGACCGCCCATCATAACGGCCACACCGACACCGCAGTAGGCGCCCATCTGTTGGGCCACTTGTCCCACTTGTTGGGCCAATTCACGAGAGGGCACAACAACCAGACCGCGCGGTGTCCGCTGATTGCTATCGTCACCGGTTTGCTCTTTGGTTGCGCGAATCATTTGGATAACTGGAGCCAAATAGGCCAGCGTTTTGCCGCTGGCCGTCTCGGCCGAACACACAACGTTCCGGTKYGTCAATACCAACGGTATGGTTGCCCGTTGAATAGCTGTCGGCTCTGTAATGGCCATCGACTCGATRGCWTCGCACACAGTTTCGCTCAATCCTAGCGACCCGAAGGTGACCAACTCGTCCGATAATTGTTTGACAATTGGCGACGGATTTTGTTCGTAGGCGTGAAATCGCATCCGTTGTCCTATTAGTTAACAACAAAAAACACAAGACATTTAGTTTAGTGTTCGGCTACCGATGTTTTATACTGACCAACGGGTGTCACAGAACAGAGACGACTTACCGTTAGTTTTGTTGCCATTCATCCACAGTTTGCTTATTAATGGTACACTATTTTGTCGGTACTGTTGATTCAAATGGTGATTAAACGACTTGTCTGTTGWCGAGCTTATGACACAMACTCTACGATCACCRGCCGATGGTTTCTGGTTAGTGGYGGCGGCGGTAGTCGTTGTCGTCGCCGCCGMTGWCGGCTGTTGTGATGTTTTGCGCCACTGTTTCGTACGTTTATCTTCACGATGTCGGACATCATTAAGACACGATTGCAAATATTTCGGTACTTTAATGACTGGTAACGATCGGTCGATATTAGCGGCCGTCGCCGCGGCGGTGGACAAACACAATGATGATAACGGATTAGTTGCKGCGGCGGCGCGCCGGCGGTGACAGTAGTAGTCGTCCTAACAATCAATTGATTGTATTTAATATTTTTGGCAAACATTTTGTGTTTACAAACATTTATGAATTCAATTATTATATATTAAAACATGTGTTTGTATTGTACTGTATATTACATAAACCGGTATGTATTTCACTGTACAGTAATATTAATCAATCAATAATGTGATTATAAAAGTTGTGACAAATGTTTTAAATGAAAAAAAAAACTTTTTTGTTGTTTCATTAAACATTTATTTGTCAACAAAACTAGTAAATTACACAATTAATAATAGAAAAATAATATATTTCTTTAATAAATACTATTTTTTTTGGGCAAAATTGTTAAAAAGCTTTAGCCCAGACCTGTCTACTAAACAACAAAAACAAATAAAACAAAAAAACAATCCATCAAAACATATATAATATCACTGGTAATGGTGATTACGGACGGCAGTGGCGGTCCGTTCGTGTCCAGTTAGGAGTAGCTGGAAGGCTATAGCCTGGGATCTCTGCGCCACCGATTGGTTGGGCATAGCGTCCCACATAAGCCGCTCCATAGCCGATTCCAGTGGCGACCAGTTGTTCCCACCAGGCTGGACATCGTCCACTAAAAAAACGGGAAAAAATGTAGATTAGTAGACAACCAGTAGAAAAATTATTTGACCCAAAAAACCAGTTGACCCCTACCACACCCTAACCTCACCCCACCCCCAAACTAACTGTAACTAAATAATAATTAAGTAATAAAACTAACATTTTATATATGTATAACTGCTTAAAAAGCAATACTTTTTTTAGCCTAAAAAACAAAAAAAAACAGGTTTTTTATGGTATGACTTACGGTTAAACAATGGTAACATAGGGACAAACCAGTTACCATTGAATTGCCCGGGACCGCCACCGTCGGCCGGTGCCTCATCGGCCGGTGCATCGGCAACAGCCGCTACCGGAGCCGTAACATTGGCTGACACACGCGCGCGTAGCATATAATAGACCATAAGTATAGTCACAATTACGGCGTAAACAAACAAAACAGTGATACCGATAGTGATAATCATGTCGTGTGTGGCAATTGTTTTCAAATTAAGACACAAAATAAAACAATTTATTTATTAATCAACTTTTTAGTAGTTATCTAATCAATGATTTCTGTTTAAATAAATTATTTTTTAAATTTTTAAATTATAATTAATACTAATAATATTAATAATAGTAATAACGCGATAATTAAATGTATTAATAATACTGTACTCTAATAATTAGCTGTAATGTATTGAACTGTTCATTGATTTGGGCATCAATTATATGGTGATCGCTGTTACTATTGTTGTCCACTATTGTCGGTACCGCCGCTGCTGCTGTCCTTGTCTTCCGGTGATTACTACTGGCCATCAATTGTCGTGTTGTTGTTATTCTTGTCCCGAACACCGCATGTGTTGTCAAATCATTCAAAAATATAATTGAAAACAATTTTTCATTACTGCTGTCCAGTTCGGTATAGTTTACCGAAGACGAGTCAGTATTGTCAAGGGATTCGTCGAGAAAGCCGTAACTGATTTGATTGGGAAGTTCAGTGTCGATGACGGCGCCGGCAGTGGTATTGTTGTTGACCATCGATACCACACCCGATGATATGCTATTGATTGCTACTATTCATCAATTGATCAAACGATTAGTGAATCCATAAAAACAACTGATCTCAACAACTGACCATTTGTTTGCTGCTGATGTTGTTGTCGTTGTTGCGGCCGATTGTGTCCACCGCTGACGGCTGTAGTGTTATTGTTGTTGTTGATGATGACATTGTGTCCATCATTATCGTCATCATCGATGATCAGCTGTAATGTATTGAACTGTTCATTGATTTGGGCATCAATTATATGGTGATCGCTGTTACTATTGTTGTCCACTATTGTCGGTACCGCCGCTGCTGCTGTCCTTGTCTTTCGCTGTTTACTACTGGCCATCAATTGTCGTGTTGTTGTTGTTGTTATTGTTATCCCAAACACCGCATGTGTTGTCAAATAATTCAAACAAACATATGATTTGATTAATTCATAACACTTTTAATACTTTCATTATTACTTTATTTTTGTTTTTATAACCAAAACAAACAAATCATATGTTTGTTATGTATTTGTTATGTATTTTTTAAATGCAATATATTTTAGTTATCAACCAATAGATGACATAATAAAAACATTGCAATGCATTAAAAATATTTTTTTTTAAAAAGTTTATTAAAAGTTTGCCGCAATGTTTAGTATTTTTTTAATAATTATAATTTATTACATTCATATATTTTATATGAAATAATTAATTCAATTAATTAAATCAATTTAAATTATATTATACAGTATATCAATAGTTTAACAAACAAACAAAAAATTAAATAAATATTTTTATAAAATAGTTTGTGTAAAAGTTTATAAATATTAAGTAATTATATGTGATATTTATGTCATTATCAATGAAATAAATTATTATTAAATTTATTATTTTTTAGGTTAACATTATAATTGTCGGTATTTTTAAATTTAAGCAAAAAAACAAAATGTTTGGACAAAACACCGGTGATTTGGGTTTCTGATGGTCAACGAGTTGTTGGCGATTCAGTGGCGATAGTATCAGTGGTTGCCATCATCGGTACAAAATCGATAACAAAGTTATTTGGCCGCCAGTAGCGGCTGTACTGCCAGACAATGGTGGCCACAAACCGGAAGAATATGTAGACAATGTACGCGAGCCGACTGTAGACAATAAATACAACAAAATCTTGTAGCCATTGGTCAGTATTGTCGGCGAGGGCTATGACCAGCCGTACGATTAGCCAACAGTGTATCAGATTCAACAGTTTGCTGGCAATTTCGACCAGTGTTTCCAATTGGATCGGCTCATTGGCAAACATATCAACCATATTCATCGGCCGACGTCGGATTGCGTACTGATGGCCACAAACATCGCAACAATGATTTAGCGTTAGTTTTACATAATGTTTGAGACACTGTTTGTGTGCTAAACTCCAGGACCGACACCTGCAGACAGTTAGCAATTCACCCGAAGTTATCATACAAACCCGACACTTGTTGTTGTTGTTTAGCGACGGCGAAGACATAGTAAACTAGCGATTAATAACAAAAACATAATTTTGATTATTAATTATTATTATTATTAGTAGTAGTAGTAGTAGTAATTTTTTTAATTACAGTATAAATCACGTGTGAAATTAATTATTATTAGAAATAAAAATTTAAATATTTAAAAAATAATTTCGTTAAATTTGTTTTATTTAAATGTATAATTCAAATGTATGTTTAAATAGCTCGCGCTATTGTATAACAAACAAAACAACACATATTATTAATATAATGTAATTTAATATCTAATTTATTTATTTAAAGTGCAATGTATTTGACTTATAATATATACAAACATAACAAACAAATAGTATTGAAATGTCAAGTATATAAACACTGTTATATAAATGCTATAATAACTGTAATATAAAGTTATGGAACAAATCTATATTATAGACAGCCAGTAGAAAATTGTTTGCCCCAAACCCACCCCCACCCACCCAACCACTTCCTAACCTCACACCCATCCCAAACTAACCTAACTAAATAAGAATTAATAATAAAACTAACATTTTATATATGTATAACTGCCTAAAAAACAATACTTTTTTGCTGGCTGTCTATAATATAGATTTAAGCCAAAGTTATAAACAATAATAATAATAATTGTATTACAATTATTATAATCACACCAATAGATTGATTGATTAATAATCATATAGTGATGAATAACACTACAGACGATCTGTGTCCACAAAAAGCTGATCCATGGTTTATGAATGATAACAATAAACTGTTGGCCACTGCCGATAATGTCGTTGTCGTCGATACCGCTGATGATAATAATAATATTAAATTTGCTGACAATTTTCAGTCAAAACCCCACATTAGACTAGCGAATCTAGCTGTCAATGAAAATCAATGCATCAAACCGTTACCCGATTCACAACAATACATACAATCATTGGGTATTTATTATCAAGATAACACTTTAAGATAATAGTTTTGTCCGTGCACATTTCATCAACAACCATATTTTAATTCAAATCTAAAAATGTATTGTTATATTTTCAATTTTTATTTAAAGCAATGTTATTTCTATGGAAAATTTAAAACGTTTATTGAGCTCAGGTAGGTTTTAGGGACAGGTAGGCAGGTGCTGTGTAATAACATTTTGCTATATTATATGAGTCACAGGGCACCGGGAGGTAATCTACCTGTGCTAAATTTTTGCAAAATTTTCTATTTTTATTAAAATTTTCTATTTTTATTCAAAGCAATGCTATTTCTATAGGAAATTTTTAAATGTTTATTGAGCACTGGTAGATTTTAGGGACAGGTAGGCAGGTGCTGTGTAATAACATTTTGCTATATTATATGAGACACAGGGCACCGGGAGGTAAGCTACCTGTGCTAAATTTTTGTAAAATTTTCTCAAATGCAAAAATTTTCAATTTGTGTTAAAATTTTCAATTTGTGTTAAAATTTTCAATTTTTATTGAAAGCAATGTTATTTCTATGGGAAATTTTAAATGCTTATTGAGCCCAGGTAGGTTTTAGAAACAGGTAGACAGATGTTACTCAATTTTGCTATATTGTATAAGTCACAGGGCACCGGGAGGTTAACTACCAGTGCTATTTTTTGTAATTTTTTTCAAATACAAATTTTTTTTGCAAAAATGATTAAATTTTCAATTTTTATTAAAATTATTTAAATATATATAAAAACTAAAAATTCTCAAAAGTTTAGACGAAATAATGTGTATTGGTTCAGTAGTTTTGTTACATTAGGTTATGTTGTAGTTGTATAGACAAATTAAGTCTCATTCAAATTACTAATGATAAATATTTTTAAATTAGTAAAAGAATTGCACGGCTATACATGTTGCGCGGGTTAAACTAGTTATTATTATAATTATTATCAATAATTAATATATAAATAATAATTACTTTAATTGTTTTCCAAACAATTTATTCAAATATTTTTATAGAGATAAAGTTACAAAAACTTCGGTCCACTAAATCGGGTGCAGAAACGTCCAGCAAAGACGTATTGAAATCAATGGCTATAAAAAGGGATGCAATTATCCATCAAATGCTTGAATCAAACAATACTAGCGATCAGTTGTTTAATGATTGTCAAGATTTTGATGGACAGTCATCGTCAGCACTGGTAGGCGATAGTCTGTAACAACAACAACCGTTTGTACAATACTTGAATCGACGGCTGTTTCCTGATATACAAGCCATGACTGATGAAGAAATCAAACAACTCATAGAATGGAATAAATTGGACAAATCTAATCAACAATTGGATAATCCATAAAATTATATATAAAAATATTTGTTGAATCTCAAAACTCATAACAAATAATAGAAAATTTTATTAATAAAATTAAGAAAAAGTATTTTTGTAAATTCTGTAAAATGATAAAAGCTGTATGTATCTTGGATTCATATCATATACGAAATGTAAAAATAATGTTTTAATTAAAATTATAAAATGGTTGTTGAGGTATCTTGGATTCATATCATATACGAAATGTAAAAATAATGTTTTAATTAAAATTATAAAATGGTTGTTGAGGTATCTTGGATTCATATCATATACCAAATGTAAAAATAATGTTTTAATTAAAATTATAAAATGGTTGTTGAGGTATCTTAGATTCATATCATATACCAAATGTAAAAATAATGTTTTAATTAAAATTATAAAATGGTTGTTGAGGTATCTTGGATTCATATCATATACGAAATGTAAAAATAATGTTTTAATTAAAATTATAAAATGGTTGTTGAGGTATCTTGGATTCATATCATATACCAAATGTAAAAATAATGTTTTAATTAAAATTATAAAATGGTTGTTGAGGTATCTTGGATTCATATCATATACCAAATGTAAAAATAATGTTTTAATTAAAATTATAAAATGGTTGTTGAGGTATCTTGGATTCATATCATATACCAAATGTAAAAATAATGTTTTAATTAAAATTATAAAATGGTTGTTGAGGTATCTTGGATTCATATCATATACCAAATGTAAAAATAATGTTTTAATTAAAATTATAAAATGGTTGTTGAGGTATCTTGGATTCATATCATATACCAAATGTAAAAATAATGTTTTAATTAAAATTATAAAATGGTTGTTGAGGTATCTTGGATTCATATCATATACCAAATGTAAAAATAATGTTTTAATTAAAATTATAAAATGGTTGTTGAGGTATCTTGGATTCATATCATATACCAAATGTAAAAATAATGTTTTAATTAAAATTATAAAATGGTTGTTGAGGTATCTTGGATTCATATCATATACCAAATGTAAAAATAATGTTTTAATTAAAATTATAAAATGGTTGTTGAGGTATCTTGGATTCATATCATATACCAAATGTAAAAATAATGTTTTAATTAAAATTATAAAATGGTTGTTGAGGTATCTTGGATTCATATCATATACCAAATGTAAAAATAATGTTTTAATTAAAATTATAAAATGGTTGTTGAGGTATCTTGGATTCATATCATATACCAAATGTAAAAATAATGTTTTAATTAAAATTATAAAATGGTTGTTGAGGTATCTTGGATTCATATCATATACCAAATGTAAAAATAATGTTTTAATTAAAATTATAAAATGGTTGTTGAGGTATCTTGGATTCATATCATATACCAAATGTAAAAATAATGTTTTAATTAAAATTATAAAATGGTTGTTGAGGTATCTTGGATTCATATCATATACCAAATGTAAAAATAATGTTTTAATTAAAATTATAAAATGGTTGTTGAGGTATCTTGGATTCATATCATATACCAAATGTAAAAATAATGTTTTAATTAAAATTATAAAATGGTTGTTGAGGTATCTTGGATTCATATCATATACCAAATGTAAAAATAATGTTTTAATTAAAATTATAAAATGGTTGTTGAGGTATCTTGGATTCATATCATATACCAAATGTAAAAATAATGTTTTAATTAAAATTATAAAATGGTTGTTGAGGTATCTTGGATTCATATCATATACCAAATGTAAAAATAATGTTTTAATTAAAATTATAAAATGGTTGTTGAGGTATCTTGGATTCATATCATATACCAAATGTAAAAATAATGTTTTAATTAAAATTATAAAATGGTTGTTGAGGTATCTTGGATTCATATCATATACCAAATGTAAAAATAATGTTTTAATTAAAATTATAAAATGGTTGTTGAGGTATCTTGGATTCATATCATATACCAAATGTAAAAATAATGTTTTAATTAAAATTATAAAATGGTTGTTGAGGTATCTTGGATTCATATCATATACCAAATGTAAAAATAATGTTTTAATTAAAATTATAAAATGGTTGTTGAGGTATCTTGGATTCATATCATATACCAAATGTAAAAATAATGTTTTAATTAAAATTATAAAATGGTTGTTGAGGTATCTTGGATTCATATCATATACCAAATGTAAAAATAATGTTTTAATTAAAATTATAAAATGGTTGTTGAGGTATCTTGGATTCATATCATATACCAAATGTAAAAATAATGTTTTAATTAAAATTATAAAATGGTTGTTGAGGTATCTTGGATTCATATCATATACCAAATGTAAAAATAATGTTTTAATTAAAATTATAAAATGGTTGTTGAGGTATCTTGGATTCATATCATATACCAAATGTAAAAATAATGTTTTAATTAAAATTATAAAATGGTTGTTGAGGTATCTTGGATTCATATCATATACCAAATGTAAAAATAATGTTTTAATTAAAATTATAAAATGGTTGTTGAGGTATCTTGGATTCATATCATATACCAAATGTAAAAATAATGTTTTAATTAAAATTATAAAATGGTTGTTGAGGTATCTTGGATTCATATCATATACCAAATGTAAAAATAATGTTTTAATTAAAATTATAAAATGGTTGTTGAGGTATCTTGGATTCATATCATATACCAAATGTAAAAATAATGTTTTAATTAAAATTATAAAATGGTTGTTGAGGTA